TTATCTAAAAGGTTTTGAAAGATGGATAGGCCGCTATAATCCTATAACTGTCGTTTGTTCTACTGTTGCTGCTGCTACACGAGATCTGTAAATCAGAAAAATAAATAAATTGTTTTTGTGCGCAACTAGACTGTCTCTTGCTTACCCATAGGCTATGTCATCTGGCGAAGCAATAATCAACAGTTAAAAGGACTCTTAGGGATGTCCGTATTTCATGCTCTATTTTGTAGTCCTTCCGCCTGAATGAATTCTAGTCTGTTCTCTTCGCCGCAACTGTTGTATGCGCTGTTCAGCCTTTGATTTTTGGTCGTATTCTCTGAGATTAGCAAATACTTGTCATCTAGCGCAGTCCGATTTTGTCCATCTTCTCATTTGAACTACCACGTGCAAGCATTCACGAATCTCCTACAGTTCTATCACCCGCACGTAATTTGAAATGTCCTATTAAGATCTTTTTGGCATAACTAGCATTCACCAGCCTTCGTATTGAAAGACGTTTTACTACGAAATGAATTAAAACAACACAAACTTTGCAATGAACGGTGTATTTACTTCACCAACAAATTTTTCGACGTCCTATTCAGTCGCAAAACACCATTGATATATTTGTTTTACGGGACGTTTTAAGTCAAACAGTCCAACACAGATGCAAGACGACAGAGGACAAAAGGCACACAAGACGAACGATAAAATAAGTATACGGGTATTGTGATCCGGGAAAAGGCCCAGCAACCTGAAAGGTAAAAGTAAACTATATAAAGCGCGTCAAAACAATCCAGGCAGGATATAAGATACAAATTGTCGAATGTTAAACATAACTACACTTGGTAGACTGAACCTCACTGAGCAGGTTACAGGAAGTGTGCCTTGAAGGCCAATTTAAAGCCCTTATAGACAGTCGCATAGCCGTTAGTAATGTACACAGGTGGTTGAGAGCGACAAAAATGACTGAGACGGTAATTATCATTTCTGGCCCTTTTGGCCGTCATCTGCCGCTCTTTGTCAGTACTCCGCCAAAATTGTCTTTCCCACCTACTCCCCTTCAAGAAAACCCCATCGATTTTGTCTCGCATGATTTCAGGCTGTTCAGCGCCCCATGTTGAAGTCAACGTCCTTCCGGTCATACAGCGCTAGCGAATAGGGAAGACTCAGCTCTAAACCAATAACGACTAATCAGCATGTAAACCCTACTGAACGGCACAGTTTGACTGCGCAGGTGAACAATGGGGAGCTCGAGACACAAGATCATTTGGTAGTCCATCAAGCAGTGGAAGAATTGACCGCTCAGGTATTCAATGGTCCGCATCCAGCAGACTGAGTTAAAAGGTTTTAGGAGGGTAGATTGAGTTGGATGGCAGAATTTTCGATAACGAATGATTTTTCAGTAGCGGTTGGTTAAATCCAGCATAGGAAACAAAGAACGTCTGAGAGTCACGAGGACTACTGCCTTCAACCTTGCGCGTAGCCAGGTAAACAGGGAATTTAAAGATGCAGAATGCGGTTGGGTAATTTCGATCAAACAGACCATTCGAAGTTCGACGAACTAACAGCGGGAGTTCCTTGATGTAATTAACCCGTCCCATACGATGGAGGGTCACTGAGAATGAAATGGCGGTTGGGGGTGGTATATATGGACAAGTAGGGTGCTGAAGAGTTAACAGAGAAGATTGTCGAGGGACGCCGAGACAGCATCCGTCTGCGACCACGACAAGATTAAAAAGTATGCGCCTACTCGCCGAACGGTCATATTCGGAGATCTGAGAAAGACCACTGGGTGCGAACGCCGCTTTCGTAGACACTGATGTCGTACTTGCTCCCAGCTTAGCGCACGTATGGCTCTTTGGGAGCGAAAACAGTTAGACAGGGTTTCTGCACAATTCGGAATGCCCGAAAGCTGCCTCGATGAAACTCCGTAATGAAGTAATGATTATGTCAGGCAGTTATTTCGGAGAATATAAGTGGTGGCTTTGGTGAAATGAGGACAGTATTGGTGGAAGTAGCAGGCATTAAAGCGACCTGCGGCAGACTGTCCCTTTCATGCAATGTTGTGATGGCTGTATGTGGCTTTGTTCACCTATGCAGATTGCGATTTTGATTTGCGGAACACTAGCACGCTTGGGGACACGAGCTTGGCATTATGCAATTAAACGTCTGTGTGTGAGAGGGCGAACTAAAGTTAGGCTGTGGAAATGTAAGCAGGGACCACTAGGCTTGACCGAAATATCAGCCAAGTTTGGGGCAGATCACGTGATCCAACTGCCTGCGCAGCTCTAGCCCCATCCCTGCCGGGTACATTTTGGGGCTACTTAATAATCCGGCTGTCCGTGCATCATAGATGCGGTAGTTGTGACTGTGTGGCAGTTGGCCAAATGCTAATTTGTGGACGCACTTCCGGGAGACCTGCTTTACGCTTCCAAGGGTCCTTTTGGTATGTATGCGACTGACTGAGCCGCTAGCCACCTCCTTATGTGCACAATGCGCTTGTCTTCGCAACTGCATGTAAGCTCATAAACATGGTCGGAAATGGCAGTCGTGTGCAAGGCAGCTGGAACAAGTATGACAAGAGGATGTTTGAGGTAGAATGTCAGGACTATGACTAGCAGTTGTGCATGTGTCACGCTAAAGATGCTGTCCCTTCTGACTGGGAGCGAAATGTTGCCCGATATTGTCAAACTGGCTGATTGTGTTAATTCTGACCTTACAAGATGGCACATTTATTTGATATATATTTTTCCAATTAGTTTTTACTCTCGTATGACTGATTGACGTATCAGACGGATCGCGTATGTCTTATTCTGTTTTGACAACCGCCGCCTTCACTAGTTTGCTCCAGATGGCCGAGAACTTTCCCGTACGGCTAATTGTTAACCACCCCCAAACTGGGTTGTTATTATTCCCCAACCAAGCTTTCATCTAAACCGCTCACCCACTACTGTCCTATAGCTGAAAAATATACACGGATAGTTGACGTTGAGTAGGAATTGGAAACACTTGATGAAGTCATCAAATGCTGCCTTCTTCGGAACGTCCTCCCCATTCATATGCAAGCATTATCAGTTCTGGCTTGAACTCGCCTTTTAAGCCCGACTACATTTATATCTTCATGGAGGTATTGCAACATAGGATAAGATTGCGCCTATATGTCCCTTTTTGCACAGCACAGATCACCACTGAAAATGAAAGGAGGCCCATGCTGGCATCAGTCCAAATGCCCGTAATAAAAAAGTAAAGAACGGTAGTTTAAAATCAGATAAGGAAAGTTAACATTTGATGTTTCCCTCGATTACCGCCTCATTCGAAACTACCCCCTTGTTCTTTTATATGCATTATCTGTGTTGGGCTTGCTCCATGTTTTTTCTTTATGTGGACCACCCTAAGGGCTTTGAGGATGTATTTTAGAAGTAGCAGTAGATGCTCTAACTCATAAATGCAAACCGAAATTGTGAAAGGAGTTTTTGACTCGAAAAGATTACTTAAACAGGGTTGTTCTACTAATCACCGTGCAGCATAACTCCATAAGAATTAAGTTACCTCAGGATGCCGGCTTTTAAATTAACTTACTTTCGTCGGCCTGCCAAAACCATATTTAAATTACTACGTATGTAGTACGAATTTTTTGCACTGATTTTTGATGTCCTTATAAATTGGAGCATATTGCATAGGAAACATGCATAAAAATATTCCGCGCTCCGCCCAAGCAGCCAGTTGGCGCAGCTCACATCGTCGCGAAGTACAAACGGCGTCACCACGTCGGTGGACCATCGTGGACCAGGTGGCACAAACCTTCCCTAGTCACGGACATAGTCCCCCCCTCTCCCCACAAAGAACAGCGATATTAACGTTCCCACGTTGCTTCACTCGAACAGTCTCTGATGATAAACTCCAGTTCGAGTTCAAAAGCTTAGACAAATAAATCTAATGCCCCAGTGATTGTTCCTTCGTCTTCTTTTAAACAAGAACCTGGGATGCGCATATTCTCTTCCATTCGTGAGAATTTCGGGCGTGATGCGCTTCGTACAGCTCGCAGCTGGGAGACATTCTCCACATGAGATGCAGCAACTTATGAACAACTGAGCTTTCCACATAAGTGCGTTCGCGACGGACTGACACCCAAGAGCCCGATTTATAAAGAGCTAGTGAATACTGAATTGGGCCGATGCGTCGTACAACGCTTCGGGAAGCAAATGCTACGAGTGCTGATCAAAGACTGACACTTAGGCTTGCGCAAGTACCGAACTGTCACAAAAGAAAGAAGGGCGGAGTGCGCGGCATTGCTCGGCGAATCAGTTACTGAGCGTCTGGACCGAACACTATCAACCGTGGCAAAAGCGAGACAGGAAGTGAGACGCATGAATCTAGACCAAAAAACCGTCAAATTGAAACCCGAAATCAATACCAACGAAAACGTGGTACACAACTTATCGTCGAAGCACTTAAGCCAAACGGAACTCAGAGTGTTGAGCCCCGAAGCCAATTTTAACACTGCTGATGCCACCCCAGTCGACTTCATTGCCGCACTTGAGGACATGCTAGTACGAACTAACGCAAGCGAAGAGGCTAAACACACGGTGCGCCAAAAGGTTACCTCTCTCCTGATGACGAACAGGCACGCTAGCAATATGTCACCCGCTCAAACAGATGCAACGAAGAGATTAAAAATGGACAAAGATATTATAGTGCTACCGGCCGACAAAGGAAGAGCAACAGTTGTGATGAACCGCGTTAATAACAACGAGAGGGCACAAGCTCTTCTGGACGACCAACAGTTCTACAGGTCCGCACCCAACTTGCAGGCCAAATCGATGACTGGCCAACTGGCTGGACTCTTAAGCCGACTCCGGCGCAACGCTGTAATCTCTTTTGAGGAATAACGCCAGACAACAACGACCGACACGGCGTTGTCCAGGTTCAATGGACTACCAAAAATCCACAAACCTAACGTTCCTCTGCGGCCAATCGTTGTCCTGAAAGGTAGCTCCACATACAATTTAGCCAAATGGATGTCCCGAAAGCTCGATTTTCTCCGAGAGGACTTTGTGACGTCCGCCAACTCGGCCTCGCAATTCCTTGTCGACATTCGGGGAAAAACTATTCAACCCGACCAAATCATGGTATCCTTCGACGTTGTCTCACTTTTCACGTCCATCCCACCCGACTTGGCGAGCGACGTGCTATGCAAGCGTCTTGAAGAAAAGTACGACGAAACGACAGGGCCGCTAAAGATCCAGCACCTAATGCAGCTCTTTGCATTCTGCCAACGAACCTTTTTCACTTCCGATGGCAGAACATACGAACAAATCAGAGGAACAACCATGGGTTCCCCAATATCCAGTCTAGTTGCGGAATTGGTCCTACAAGAGTTGGAAAAGGTTGCTTTCAGCCACTACAAACCTGCGTTTTGGCGCCGATACGTGGACGGTACATTCGTCATTATTGAAAAGGACAAGCTATCGGGTTTTCAAGACTTACTTAGCTGCATATTCCCCGACATTCAGTTTACAAAAGAAGATGAGGAGGACGAGAAAGTACCCTTCCGGGACGTGCTCGTCACGCGCACAGCTGACGGTGAACTCAGCACTACAGTGTACAGAAAGGTCCTCAATTATCATAGCAACCACCCACCGGTGCACAAACGGGGCTGTGTGAGGGCGCTCTTCGACCGGGTAAAATCGCCCTGTAGCGAGCCCGAAGGAAGAATGCCAGAACTACGGGATCTCCGGGGCCAATTAACAGAGAAAGGCTACTCAAATAGTTTTATCAGTTGCTGCGTACGCAAGCACTCACGGCGGACAAATGGAGGAGAGACACCAACAACTTGGCACTCCCTACCGTACATAAAGAATGTATCCCAGGCTACAGAACGCATTGCGTCAGAGCTATGCGTGGGCATCACTCATCATCCGGCGGCCATCATGCGTAGCATGATCATGAAAATGAAGGATCGACTGGACGCAGGTGAACAGTCGGGCGTAGTCTATCAAATTCCGTGCCAAAACTGTCCTTGCCACTACACAGGCCGGACAGGACGACGCCTCAGCTCACGAATACTTGAGCAAAACGGGTCGTTCGAAGAGGCGACCCAATATCTCAAGTCGACACTCCCACGCTGGAGGAAGGCCATGAGTTTGACTCCGCCAACACGCGGATATTGGCGCGAGCCGGCAACAAGACAGGGCGAGAGCTGTTGGATGCGTGGGTGTCGGACACCGATTCTATCAACAGACACATCGATTTGCCTGCGTGTTTTCACGCGCTCCGCCCACGCAGCCAGGTGGCGCAGCTCACATTGTCGCGAAGTACAAACGGCGTCACCACGTCGGGGGACCATCGTGAGACCAGTTCGATTCCGAAAGCTCAGGCAAATAAATCTGCTGTCCCAGTGATCGTTCCTTCATCGGCTTTTAAACAAGAACCTGGGATGCGCATATTCTCTTCCATTCATTTACTTATTTTTGGTAAAAAGTACGTTTTCTTCAAACTTTATATTTGAGGACGGGATGTAATCTTTGCAGGCAACATTAGTTAATGAAGGGAAAATTTTTCTGAATGACGATTTCACGATCTTGAAAAATCTCGTAACCGGAGGCGTTTTTAAAACCGAATTGCGTCGAGACGGAAACGCATTCCACAAGTTCGGTTAGCATTCTTGACTCAGCAAATTCACTATCTGCATAAGTATTAGCGTGGTTCCACCCTTTGATGTATATAAAAAAGTCGCCTTAATCGAAAGAAATTTCACAAAAACAACAGCAATTGCATTGCGCCTTGTGTCCTCTGTACTCCTTTTCTCTAAAGTGAACTGATATCGCTATTCCATTTCCTGCACCCAGCCCTACCATCCCACTGGCATCGGTCCGTAGGCCTATCCTCATGCTTCTATATTCACGCACCTTACGTCGTTTTCAACCTAACGCCGCATCAACGGCTGCCTAGGGTGTTATCTAGCTCAGTTTTGCCCTCTTCATCTTGTCTAAGGCAGTGGAAATATCTTTAACAGCGAGAATTCTAATCCGTTATCCTACAGCAAGACGGATGGTACCTATTTGATCTCCCAAGGCGCCATCTTACCTGCCATTGTTGTGAACAGGTGACCATGGAATATGTGTTGAGCTCCTGAATTTATACCTATTCCACCCTATCCAAATCACAAGCACTTCATCAGTTGTCAGGTTTCTGATAAAAGTCCAATAAGTAGAGACGATCTTTCCAGTCTGGTCTTCCTTTGCCAATGAATCTCCAGATTTTTAATTGCTCCCATTACCTGGTCATTACTGAAAGTCCTTGTTTGTAGCCTTAAGAAAACACGAAGCTTTGTAGTCTGTCCTCTCTTCAGCGCAACTGGCTCCTTCTTAATGTGGTCCCCATAGCACTCCGCTTCGTGAAATCTCAGCCGGATGTGGCTGCACGCCTAGAGGTGGCTCGTCCGCGCCGGCTACCTGCGTCCTTTTTGGCCTGCGATCTTCTTGACTCAATCTTGACACTAAACGCAGATGGGTGAGAGTGATGAGTGCAGGGCTACTCTTACTATAAAGAAACTCTGCGCAAGTCACTGACTCTGCTCGAATTCTGCAGTGGAGCACATCGTAGACATCGTTAAAAAAGGTAGTCAAACTATCAATCAGCACAACAATTTTACGCCCGCACCCGCTTTTTCTCTACCCGTCAAATGATGCGCAAAAACTTGTGATGATCATGACGCTGATCGTCATGCATTTGAGCTTAGCACCTTCTTTAATCAGACCTATATTACACTGGGTCAATCAACAAGCCAGTGGCAATTAAGATTAACTTCAGGGATTCGCTTTTTCATTGTTCAGGTGCAAACAGGAAGAATAATCGTTAAATTGGAAAATATTTCAGCCGATTTCGTCTATTCTTCATCGCCCTATCGGTGTTCTGAGAATTCTCGAAGTTCAACTTTTGCTGCCGTCCATAGCAAGTCTTTTAAAGAAGCTGAAGCAAACTTTTTGGTTTGTGCGGACTTGAAGTTTAGGACACTTCGTGCATTATTTATTTGTAGCCCGCAATTCATTAATGAATACATCTAAAGTACACTCAGCAGAATACAGAGATGCTGAAAATTTTCTGACTCCTTCAAACTATCTCCTATCGTTTCAGAACACAACCAGTTCACAGTAGGGTCGCGCTCATTTAACTTTGTTCCGAAAATTGCTAAGACCGAGACGGTTACACATGGGTCATAGCAGGCAATCGAATCAAGGGAAAAGGGATCTAAAGCCAAGAGCTGAATAAGGTGTTTTTATCAACGAACACAGTTAGATTAGTGAAACACTTTGGTACTTCATGTAGGAAAAGTTAGGAATTATTTAGATGGCATTCAGCAGCAACTAAAAGTCGCCTCTTGTTTTCTTTACTATTTTCTATTTCATATGAAAATGAAAAGCATTTTCTCAGCCATCCTTTGTACGTATGTATAGGCACTAAATTCCCTCGTCCTCAACCCAAAGAACAGACCGATGCCATCGTACTCAGGTTCAAGCAGTTAGCGGCTGAGTGAGGTAGTCGAATCGATTCCAAACACACAGAAGTAGTGACTAAGGTTGGAAATGGATTGGTCAGTATGAGAGGACTGCTGGCTGTAGATGTGTTCACAGGAACGGACGGCTGAAGAAGACATCTAGTCGAGGAGCGAGCCACAATAGTGGACCCCTTCACGTTCATTTCAAAACAACAGAAACTGGGTCAGTTTTGAGGGTCCTACTGCATCGAATAAGTGAATTCGGCCTCAGACGTAGACACGCATAGCAAGCTCTCTTGTGAATAGCTGCCCATAACAAAGTCAACCTTGGATGTTCGATGTGAGGCTGCGAAATGCTGTCGTGCAGGTTGCGCTTTTACATCCTGCTCCAACTCGGGGCATCTATAAGGACGAGTCGACATTTGGAGCATAGTCGACAGAGGTAATGCATTATAATTTACCCACCGCGTGCAGTGCAGGATCACTGAACTGATGGTGGCCGTAAAAACCAAGACTTGTGTTAAAAAAAGCTCGTGGTCTACCGCAAAACGGTTAACTGACAAGAACGGCCTTGGGCACTCAGGCAGCAGACATTTTTGGTCACGACCAGCTTAATAATTCATGCGTCTCCTCACCGAGCAGGAAGACTTGGAGAGGTGGGTAAAAGCTATCGGCATACGAACTCTTCCGTGGTCAACGCGAATGCTAGGCCTGTTTGCACTTGAGCACGCTTTACGCTATTTTCGATTAGCAGGCATAGTTTCTCCACCACTCGGAATGTCTGAAATTTGCTTGGTTGGAGAGATGAAACGAAAATCCTATTTGATTTTTTAATTACTCGAAAGAAAACGTGTGATGCGATTTGTGACGTCGAAGCATTAAGGACTATAAATAGGAGGTATTAAAGTGGACAATAGTAGGCTGTACAATTCTCGCTTTCTGTAATGACTACATACTTCCTCGTTCTTCCATGTTGTTTTTGATTTAGAAATGCAAGCCAAAAATACCAGCATGGATTCCCAATTGAACTCACCAGTCTCGTGCAGTTTAAGGCTGGATAGCGTTTTACTGCCGAATGTGTCGTCTGGTTTTCAGTTGCATTTAAACGAATTGCCCAATTCCTTCCCTTCTTATCCCCTTCTTTAAGTTAGCTGATATCGATTAAACGATGACTTAAATCAAAATAATTTCTCCTGCTCCACAAACTCATTATTCCTTTAGCCCACCTTAATGTGTATCATACCGAGAACGTTGTTAACATATTTCTAGCCTGTGACTGAGTTTATGCCAGCCAGTCTCCGTGCTGCATCCCACCTTGTTCCTTTAAATTATAAAAACACCTCCCTTGATAGGCAAATCACGGTCGGCTGACCTTACCAGAAGCTTTACTGTTTACATCTTTTGTTTTTTACGACGACAACAATAGTAGATGCCTCTTTGTTGACAGTTCCAACCAAATTTGCGTCATTACGCACGATCAAGCTGGCCTACATTTTTCCCTTACTCTTCCATTTTTTTCACGAAACAGTGGGTGCCTCACAAGTGATCACATTTATTTGTTGACATTTCCTCCTGACTTTAGCCCTCAAATGTCTTCATTCCAGAATTTTTTGGTAGTTGATCTCCAACTGTTCTCACGGTTTTCTGTGCTCTGGTTGACTGTCGACACGTCAGACTGCATACCGGGCCGACACCTCTGTCTGTCAGAGACATTCGTCCCATGTCTCAGGACTTGCTTCATCGTGTCTTAACTTCTTAGCTTTATGTATGGTTCATGCTGCGGTTAAAACCTGACATTATTCGAAAATCTGGCAGTCACTGGGCATCTCCATTGCAAAGAGTTACCGAGCAAAAGGGAACTGATTGATATCATTCGAATGTCAGCGGCGGGGCAGACACTTTCAGGATGCTTATGAGGATGTCCAAAATATATACGTATCAAGACAGCTGTCACTAGACCCACTCACGGTACACCCCAAACCACTTCATTTTCTCTTTTCATTTCCCTCCGCTGTCCCCTGCCTGCCACCCTCCATCAAAATCACGATTTTTGGAATTCACATGGGCTTCTTGATGCTCCTGTTTTTAAAATGATGCTTAAAAACTGTATTTTGGTCTTCGGATGAGTTACCGTGCAAGGGCATTTAAAAGCTGATTGGTTTTATCTGTTCAACCTCAAATTTCTGGAACTTTATACATCCACATGGATTTCACCTTCCTCCAGAGCCAGATGCCCAGTCTCAAGCTCAATATCCTTCTGAATACTGTCTTATTTTGTTGGCCACTCAAAAGCTTACGCTGTTGGCTCAGGGTACTTAGTTTGGTCGTCATGCAAGGCTGAAAACCGCGCAAAACAGACGGGTTTGGCTGGATGTTGTCGCGCTACAGGCCACTTCCAGTTTCTTTGAACTTCAGTGGAAAGGTCAGGGCGAAACCTCCTCCTTCTGTATCTTAAGAACGCATACCCGACCATCCCATCTCTATCGCCATATTTTGGCCTGCAGTCATCTTATGAAATGTCAACGGCAATTCTGAAATTATTTTCGATTAAGGAGGAACACTTGAGTAGGGTTATGATATTGTTTGTCGTGATGTGCCAGACGTGCCAGGATGTTAGCTTTTGAATGCACGTTTTTTGGGCGCCCGCAACAACTGCACTCGGCGAGAATGTTTTCCTAAGTTGTATGCATTTTCCATTGCTTTTCGATGTTCTTATAGGTTCAAATATAATTTATACAAAACCTACTAAGAAGCACACATTTTCATATTTATTTGGTCAAAAATCACCTTAGTTTTAAATTGTTTACCCGGAAGAAGGGTATATTTTAGTTTAAAAGAAGTTCCTGAACTGTTAAGCAATTTTCTGTTCCATCTGCGCTGCATTCACGTTTAGGGTTTTCAGTCTACAAGCTGCATACGTTCCGTGTAGATATAATTAGATAAGATGTAGTTATTTAGCCCCACCTGATAGACACATTACTGTTGGGGTTGAGATCGGGGGGTCAGGGTTAGGGATTAGGATTATAAGTTATGATTAGTAGTAAGGGTTGGGGATTAAGGTCAAGAGTTTGAGTTAAGGTTAGGGTTAGGAGTTAGGACAATTTTTCTCAACCACTCGAAGCACAACCGCGCATTCCCAATAGCCGTTCTTTTGCATACAATTACTTGACCTCGTCACCTGTGCGTTTACCGACCCCACCTGTAAAAACTCCTATTACCACCTATCCCGTATTACAGATGGTTGGAGTTTTTTACTTCAAGTGGAGCTACATAACCACATCTGACATGTAATCATATTTTTTCTGTGCCAATGATAAGATACCATATTGGGTTCAAAAAATTCCTAATTAAACTTAAAATATGTTCTGTACTTTCTGGGGAACTTTACTAACTGGACAGATAGAATGCAGTTTGGAGGGAACTGCACAGTTGTAGGCATCTCCTAATCAGAAACCTCTGGAAACCCAGATGTACTTTTTCTTTAAAAAATATAGTTTGGAAAAAAAGTTTCTTTCAATCAAGTGAGCACATGAAAGAATGTTTTGTCCTGTTTTCTTTAAGATGTTTTTGGATTTACAAGTTCGCGAAAACCAATGAATGAAAAAGCATGCTACCTATGCAGTCTCTTGTTACCGATGAATGTTTTGAGCGGCCGAGAAGACATGCATTCTGAAGTCAACATTCTGGCATTTGTGATACATCTTGGGATTGCGTTGTACGATTATCCAAATTACAACTCCACACACGCAATCCATGCAGATCAAAAATAATTCCGGAATGTTATCTTGATATTTAAAAATTATTAATCTTTTCGGCTGCCTAGTCGATTCTGTGCACATTTTAATGTGATTCTAGCATAGTCGGTGTGTGGTTTAAAAGCTGCTTAACAGGATGACCACGAAAAGGTCAGGAACGTGTAAATGTCGAAACACATGATCAGGTAACGCGGAAAAAAACAATTTAGGCCCAAACTACGTTTCGTATCCGCACATTGCAACTAGAATGTAAGTGCCTTCCTAACAAAGCTTTCGCAGCAAGACACCAATTACGTGCCGATTACTCTTTAATGCCACAAAAATGCGTGCTCGGACTTTGTTCCTCCATACTCCATCTTGTCTTTCTGCATTCGAACTTGGGGAGATTGACCCGAATGTAGGTACCTTTCTGGACCATTGTGGCTCATGACCATCACCTTATTTTTCGCAGTCATTAAATTCCTCTTGTGACTTCACGTAATGCCAGACACCTACCAGTCGAATTTTCACTCCTTGAATTCCAGCTAATTCCTGTACTTTTAACTGCATTTACTGCAAGCTGCACCAAAGCAAAGACGTGAATATTAAAGGCTACATACGTCTGAAGTCGCGACAATAATTTCTAAATAAATATTTTAGGGCTAGGAGGCCTCTTTTTGCGTGGGAGTTCTACGTCCGCAGTGTTTGGAATGCGCCTTGTAAAAATAGACATCTGAGGAACCTTCACACCCCTCTTAAACGACAGTATCACCCAAGCCGTTTGAACCTACAGGTCCATTATTTACGCAGTTAAGTTGTGTTTCGTGCAGTGCCTATCAAAATAAACCATCTAACGAGAAGGCGGCTGGCATGAACATCCGGTTCACTGTTATTAACTACACATGAAATAAGCGTAATCGAGCGAAAATAACTAAATAATCAAAAATCCATAAAAACGCGTGCGCCAAAGCACGACTAACAAAGCAGAATCTCCCTTAAAAGCAAAGCGCTAAAGAGATGTCACAAGTACCATTTTATTGCTTAGAAAGAACATCTCATAAAAAAACACAAACGGGTGTCACATGGAAGAACTCAAATTACAGTAGATGGGCTAATTTATTAAGTGTCAACAGAAATTTCGAAGTGCGTTTTTGGTTTCAAAAGAATAATTAAGTAGGGTTGTAAAACTAAGCATCATGCAGCAAATTATCATAATAATTCAGTTACCTCAGGATGCCAGATTTCGAACGAATCTCTTTTATTCTTCATGGAAAATATATGGTCACTGGAAAATGACTGCTTACTTGGCGTGCATTTTTCTCATTTACCTTCGATGCCCTTAAAAATCCAATTATACTTCATGGAAAACATGCATAAAAATATTCATTCTCCTGCTCATTCAGTACAGAATCACGTCGTCTTCCAAGTTAATGATCGAATAAAGGAAATAATTTGGGTTTAAAAACGTTTCTAAGTGTGGCATTTTTTAATACCGTGAAATGGCCGTTCATGATATCTCATGCCGCTGCATTTACCAATTGGGCTTGTATAGTTCACGATATGGCTCATATCCACTGTCAAATTTTATGAATCCCCATACAGTCTCCCTTTAATACCGTCGAGAAATATATGGCTTTATGGACGCGGAGAATATACAGCTTGTAGTTGGGAAACCACGAATGCAAGCGTAACTGCACGTCGGGCGCAAGATTCTTCGACAAGTGGAAAAATTTTCGAAAACCAAATTACCCCCTTTCCTTGAGTATAATATAGGAAGACGAAGTTTTCTACCGAATGAGCAGAAGAAGAAGTACTTTTTATGCAAGTGTTCCAAGAAATGTACTTGAATGATTGACGGCATCGAAAATCAGTGATAAAAATGCATGTAACACAAATAGTCAATTATTACAGTTGCCATAAAGTCACCTAATGGCAGGCCAGTCACGGGCCACTAACCTTAAATAGAGCAGACATTTTTATCGTTTGTGTATATGAGAAACCTTTTTAAGTCAAATTTATTTAGGGTATTCTGCGATGGTGAAGTCTGTTGAATTTAAGAGCGGATTTTAAATATTAATGTGTGCTGTTTGATTTTCAGTGTTTTAAATTCACTGCGAATCAATGTGGACTCTGAACTATAAATTTATAAAACTCTTCAACATAAAATACTTTTGGAAATTAGTTACCCAGTTACTGAGCTCCTGGGCCTATTTTCTTATGCACTAGGTGGACTAACTCAACCGAGATACCGAAATGCGTTTTCGTTCTGAAAATATCGATTAAGCAGTGTTGTAAACCTAATCATTTTGCAGCATACTTCTATAAAAATTCAGTTGCATCGGGATGCTGCCTTCCTAAAAAACTTCTGTCCGGCTGCATGCACAAAATATGCACTGGGAAAAATGACCACTAACGTGGCATGCATTTTTCTCATTGATCTTCGACGTCCTTGGAAATTTAATTACATTTCATGGAAACCATGCATAAAAGCATTCAATCTTTTATTCATTTGGTAGAAAATTACATCTTCATTCAATTTTACACTCGAAGGAAGGGTGTAATTCGGTTTCCAAAAACTTTTCGGAATTCCGAATAATTTTGAACCCGACGTGTCATTACACGTGCATTCAGGGTTTGCAAACTACAAGTCGAATGTTTTCCGCGTACGTAAAACCATATATTTCTCTACGGTATTAAGAGAAGACTATATAGGGTTCATAAGATTTAGCCGTGGATTTGAGCTATATTGTTAACTTTACCGGCCATATTAATAAATGCAGAGACATGACGTTTAACGGACGCTCCATTTCGCGGTATTGAAAAATCTCACAATTAGAAACTTTTTGAAACCTAAATATGCCCTTCCTTCGAGTACAAAACTGAAAGAAATCGTTAGTGTCTACCGAATGACCAAAAGAGTAAATATTTTTATGCATGGTTTCTATGATATGTAATTAAAGTTCCAAGGTCATCGAAAATGAATAAGAAAAATGCATGCTACGTAAGTAGTTATTTTTTACAGTGTATATTTTGTGCATGCAGTTGGATAGAAGTTCTTTCGAAAGGCATCATCACAATATAACGAAATTCTGATAGAATTATGCTACAGGATGATAAGTTTAATAACACTGCTTAATTAATCTTTTTGAAACGAAAGCGCATTTCGGAATTTCAGTTGACTTTTCATGCGTTGGCCCACCTCTTGTATATGTTCCCGTTTGTGAAGCAATTGAATACCCACGCTTATGGAAATACCATGTCAAAAATGAACATCTGCAACAGAAGTCAAAGACGGATATGGGAACGAGGTATGAGGTAATACTTGTGAACGATAAGACAAACCGATTAGAGTTCATCTTTCCATACAAGCAGGACGTGTAAATAAGAGATTGGGAAGAGTGGACAAAAGTAGCAGTGAGCGTTAAGAGGAGCTGTGTCACAGGGGGGAAGAGTAAATCGGGACGCGTGCACATGCATGCAGACAGTTGCGTCTGCTGATGCCAGTAAGCGCCGACCCAGTTGCTTAAGACAGTTAGGTGGGACCTTGTAAATCACACGGTAGGCTTCGATGAGATGCACACAGCATCAGTTATGTATGCGAGGGTGGAGCTCTCTTTACCGGCAGGTGTTCTCGTAGTCTTTTGGATAGCACCCACTCGTACAACCAATATAATTTGCTCTACGGGAACAGGTAAAGGGATGAATGCGCTTGAAGGTGGTCTGAACTGGTTGTTATCCTTACATTCCTCGCTTAAGTCGGGGTTAGTCAAGAAAAATATCCGAACTCTTACTGCCGTGATTGATCATGGAACGGCTTGGCCTAGGCATTCTCTCAAGAGTTAACTTGCCGCGTTCCCTTAAAAGGGGACTTTATGGAACAGAGTTATTTCCGTCGGTTTGATGAGTTTTGCGGTCGTTCGGCAAGATGCTCGTTTCCTCGAAGGAGGTCCTGGATAATTCCATATATCCAAGAGACTTTTCTGCCCTTTTGCGTCAAACAACGGACTAAATTTCGTTTCTGTTGAAGGGATGCGAAACTGCAGGAATTCATATATTGCCCAGGTTTCTTTTCGATAGACACTTCTTTAAACGCTATCGTCAGCTTTTTACCTAGAGGGATGTCTAAGAAAGGCAGAGAGTCTCCTGCTTCCCCGTTCAACGTAAACCTGATCGACGCGTATGCTAGATTTGCAGCATCTAAACGGGTGGTTATTTTGGTTTCTCTCTGTTTATGTCGGTTTCGTCAAAGTAGAGCAGAAGTGGCTTCAGCTTTTCAAAGAAAACATCGGCCAGGAGAGGACCAAGAGGCGGTCCCATACCAAATCCATCTGTATGTTTACATATGTGTTTGTCAATGAGGAACTGCGCTTCTTGTGTGCATTTTTGTAATGGTCCCTTGACTGCATTCGTCGGGATTCCTTTTTTCCTGGTGAATGGTTAACAGGAATTAACAGACTCGACTGTCTCTGTGATCGGTACGTTTGTGAAGAGTGATGCGACATCAGGTTAAAACATCACGATACCATTTAGGTTTAGGTTTTTGACGTCTTTGCTGAGTCCGAAGGTAACCCGAAAGCTAAGTAGGACTGGTTGATACTGTGCGGGATTAAGTTTCTCCACCTACCACTTCGCTACCCCGCCCTAAGGAGAGGTGCGTATGTCAAATATCGGACGCACCGGTGGAGCATTCCTGTTGATCTCCAGTAGACCATATAGAAGAACAATTGTGTAGGCGCCTATGTGAGTCTTTTGGAAACCCTGACTGTAGTTTCAGTCCGCTCACCCGTTTCAGGAATGAAGATCTCTTTGTGTCTTCCTGTCTTCTTCCCCTTTTCTCGGTATAGTTGATAAATTCCTGTCTTTTGTTTTCTGTCAGGATGTCAAGAACGGCTGTGCGTTAATAAACATAACGTCCTAGATCTTCCATTTTTGCGCGCGTGATATTCAGTTGACGTTTAACGTATCTTCTCGTGGTTGCGGAGGCAATAGCTGAAAGACTAAGTCGCACTGCTCTGCAATAGTCTTTTGGATACTCATTTCTCTCAATACTATCTTCCTTAAACTTGGCCAGTACGCTTGCCTCCACAGGCTTGGTGTTAAAACGTGGATACACATTGAGTGCCTTTAACATCGCAGGATCTTTTGACTGTGTTTAGAGTTACGACAGTTCTCATAAAACAACTCGGAAGACCATTTGGCGAACATATACGTGTTTTCGACAAATTCTCGACAGGCCCGAATATGTATACGGAAACGATGCACATAGTCAAATGTGTGAGCAATAAAAGAAATCGATTACGGTTCGTCTTTTCATGTGCATGTAATGACCCGACGCGAGTTTATCGAAAGCATGTGTATGTTTAGTAGACGTTCTTTTTGATAGTAGTTTATATTCCGCCGCAAACAGACGACTTTTTTTGTCCTTATATTTCATCTTTTTCAGTACCGCGAGTTACTTTTAGGCTCTGTTCTGCGATTGTGAATGAACTGAAGCGGGGTACTATAAGCGCCAACATAATGTGCAGGCTGATAATATTTGTCCGCCCTGTTTCTAAACTACGCATACGCTGGGTCTAAACCGCTCAAAACGTACATTTCCACATGTCGAGTACACAAATGGATTGTTCAATTATGACCATTTTTTCCGTTCCTGTTAGTGTCTTCGTAAACAGCAAGACGGTATCAACACCTTCATACGAAGGGTGGCCTGCGGTCGTAATTATCGCATTTTGGAGGAGGAAATCACAAAGATTGGCATTTAATGATCGATACAACGTCTAGCCCTCCAAAATAGCCTGTTTGTGTGCAAAATGCATCCAATGGTTGGTGTCTGGCAAGAATCAATTGTTTAATGTGACAAGTTTTGTAAGGTAAAATTTTTGGGGTTTAATTACTCTCCTTTCACTGAAAAAACATGTTCGGATGCGCAAACTAGGTCTTGGGCAGCAAGTTATGTAAAGAATTGTCTAAATATATCGTAACGCGTATTTCCACTCAATTTTATGAACATCGTACGTGATCACGTCACCTAGACGCTTATTTCGCAGGAAAAAAGACATTATCCAGAGGGAGATTGGGTAAAAGAGCCAAATGCACGGTGTTTAAAATGCTCAGAATTATCATACCAGTTCCTAAAACCGCGTTTAATAAGTTAGGACACATACAGTATAATCAGTGAACTTCTGCCTTGTCGTCCTGATTGTCTCAATCAATGAAATCTAAATGCCGGCCTTTAGACCTGAAATTTGGAGTACCGGACGGTCGATGGAAGGTAGACTTGCGACTCTGTGATCTAGCGAATGCATTCACTTCTCTTATTTGCTATTCGGTCAACGCCAAGGGCCTAAACAAAAGCACCACCAAGCATATGACACGCTGTTCCAAACATTTATTATAAAGCGACCGAGCACATTGCTCCGGGATAAGATTTTGGAATTTTACGTCAGACCAAAGCCAGCATGCTAACAAGGTCATGAAAATTAAAGGCCCATTAAATCACAGGGAGCGGACTGGGCTAGTGCTCAACATCCCGTTCTTAACCTGTCATCGTGACTACACAGGTCAAAATGAACGCATGCTCGGATTGCGTAATCATGAATGAAGCGACGGGATGACTGATTATCTAGATTGGCTGCTCTTGGCTACGAAAAGGGTCATTAGTTCATCCTTGCAGCTGCCAAGATATTCTTCCCCACCGAAAGTGCGAAACGTTGAAAATTAATTGAAGACTGGGCTTCGGATTCGAACTCAGTCGATCGATCTATCGATCGGGCACCAGCATGCAGAATATTGCGCCGTCACCTCCAGACCTACATTACTGGCCGTTGATTGACTAATGTCCACATGTAACCGTCACTTGTTCTGTTGCTTCCATTATCTCCAAAAATGAACTGCTTTAGTTCGAAAGCATTGAATAATAAACAAATTGTTCCAGTATTCGACCAGTCTGCTTTACTCATTTCTACCTGCCCCGCACACAATGGAGATTCAAAATTGTATGAGTTGGCTTGAAGCAAATTTAGTACACATACACTGAAAAGACGGCAGTAAAACAAACGTCACCCTTCAAACTGTGAAGGCGTGAGCTGTAGTCTTATGCTGAAAATATGAGGTTGGTCGTTTGCTAAGGCGGCAAGAGATCCAAGTGTTCCAATTTATGGAGCCGGTACCATGACGATCAATGCATAACGTAAAAGTCCAACCCTTTTCCCACCCTCCCTTCATCAGTAATGTCTTCTCTCGCCAAACCTTCAAAACGACCAAGCGTAAACCGAACATTACAGTTCCAACTTGCCACCTAAACAATTTCAGGCGAGAATTCACATTTAAAAAACCTGATGTGAAATTATCCAAATATTCTTTCGAAATTTCGGTGTCCTATTAACGCAAATAAAAGAAAACATCTACGAATGGAGCAATTTTTAAAAATATGGCATCGCGCCGTTTTATGTTTCAAAAGTTTGAAGTATTCGAATGCCTAAAAAGTATGGCTGAACTTAATGCGTGGTAGAGTGAGCGGAAGTTAATATAAATCTGCAAAAGGCTCTTGTGTTGACAGTGTGTTCTTACTTTAGTCGAGTCCTACTGCCAAATCCCAAAGCCGACGTCTCCAGAGCAGATTATTTTTGGGTTTTATAAAAGTTTTAAAAGCATTACTTCTTTGTCTATTGTTTTACACCCTTTTACCTGAAAATAACGGGGCTACGTTGTGTTGGGCCGATTCGCTCTTTAAAACAACATGCAAATATCTTATAAACGAATTTCAGCTACAAGTACTTTAAACTGCCGCAGCGAACTTGAACTGCTCGACAAATACTGCAGCAATCTGGTGTTTTCTGGGATTTAGTGCTAATTATGGCATATAGTGCTGATAAGGGTTAAGCTTTGCCTAGGCTCCCGCAGTCGCTAAATAACGTCTTACATTTATTTTTCTATTATAAACAGGCAGTCAAGATTGTTGTTCGCGGGCACCTGCAACCTGTGTGTCTTTTCCCATTGTCCAGAATCATTGTAGGATCTTTGTTATTTTGTTGGATAAAACAATAGTAATCTTATGAGACATTTAGATGGTGTGAAAGGAGGTTTAAAGGAAGGCCATTTTCAGTTCCAGGAGCTACCACACGCAGTGTCAGACATCATGCAAGAGATTAACGTGACTTTTTGCTACGCTCTCTGAAAGCCAACTCCAATTAACAAAGAAATGAATTTAAATCGTACATACTTGGCTCGTCAGACAAAAAATGGTCGGAGGATGTTACTCCCAGGAAGTTTCATACCCCTTTTTAAGATCGCAAGTCTTGCATACTTCCGCCAAAGGTTTGAGGGAACTGTCTGGAAAGATTCAAATAAAGGGTTTCTCGCGGCTTTGCTGATTGCGTAAGAATAGCATACGCAAAAACATGTGATTAAAAAAACAGAAGCAAAGACAGTCCCCCATTTTCTCGGTTTCACCTAGCAAATACGATCTAAGTAACAAAGCTGTCTCAAACCTGTCGGTGGTCGATGATGTTTTAAAAGGGCAGCGCCGTGGCGCCGGACGCTAAAATGGTCATTCATGCAAAAATAGGTCAGAAATAATTTTAGTGGGGACCGAGAGTACCTGTGTGACCCTCACATATTAGTAGTGTTTACCAAGCATACTGGGTTTCAAAATAGTATTGCCAGTTATGTTAAAGCTGTCAGCGTCAAAAATGAACGTTTTTTTGAAAATCATCATGGCTCCGTCAGCTGCGATCTGTTTTCGCTCAATTGAATTCTCGCTTACGAAACTGTGCGCCAAAATTGTTTCTCCCGTGAAATAAAATATATTTCTCCCTAGCAACTGTTCATGAAGCCAGGAACTCCCGCAGAAATGATAAGTGGGGATGTATGCTGTTTGTGAACTATACTTTAGCACGGTATTTCACTCGTCCGAAAATATTTCCGCTTACAAATTTCCAGTACTGGCAATCAGCCAATTTACATCCACAAAGATGGTTAGTAAGAGATCCCCTTGTATTAGGATCATTTTAAGTACTTACCTTCAAAACGGAACTTACATTAGGTGGGCTAACCCATGAAATGTAAGCCGAAATTCCGAAATGCGTTTGTGTTTCGAAAAGAATAAGTAAGGAGGGAGGTAAAACTGATCCTCATGCAGCATAATATTTTAATAGTTCGAATACCTTAGGATGTCAGCTTTCGAACGAACTTCTTTCTAGTTGCATGCAAAAGCTATGCTCTGTAAAAATGACTACTTAAGTGTCGTAAATTTCTTTTACTGCTATTCGACGCCCTTAAAATTCCAATCATATTTTATATAAAACAATGCATGAAAATAATTATTCTTCCGCTCATTCGATCGAAAATTAAACCTTCTTCCAAATTTCTACTCGAAGAAATGGTATAATTCGGTTTTAAAAAAGTCTCTAATTGTGAGATTTTTTAATACTGTGAAATGGCCGTTCATGAATGCTCATGTTTCAGCATTTGTCATGTTGTCTTGTATAGTTAACAATATGACTCAAACCCACTGATAAATTTTATGAATCTTTATATAATCTTCTCTTAATACCGTAGAGACATTTATGGTTTTCAGGACGCGGAAGATATACAGCTTGTACTTTGTAAATCCTGAGTGCAAGTGTAAAATTAGGTCGGGTCCAAAATTGAACAGTTTTGAAAACTGAATTATACCCTTCCTTTGAGCATAATATTGGAAGAAGGCGCAGTTTGCTACCGAATGAGCAGAAGATGCAATATGTTTATGCATTTTTCCATGAATTATAATTGAGTACTTAAGGGCAGTAAAAATTAATGAGAAAAATACATGTTACATTAGAAGTTATTTTTAAGTGCAGGATTGTTTGCATGCGGCCAAAAAGGTCGTTCAAAGACCGGTATCCTGAGGTAACTGCTTTATTATAGAATTATGTTGCATGACGATTAGTTTTACAATCCTACTCAGTTAATCTTTTCGAAACGACAATGCATTTTGGAACTTAGGTTGACATTTGATGAGTCAGCTCACCCCCTGTAGGTTGCATTAATTAATGGAATGCATCAATTCACAGACATACGATGGATGCGTAGTCGGGGAGCTAATTTCTGTTGATGAGAATGAGAACTTAAACTACACGCTACGTCAAGAAAAACCCAAAAGTGCAGAGTACTGCCAAACAGCACGCAACATTCTTTCATGCAGAGTTGGAGCAGACGGCAATATAAGGAACGCAATCGCGGAGGGCCAGTCTAAGAGAAACCACCAGTAATAATTATGCTAAAGCCTTGTCACAGCCTAAGAACAGAGAAGTTAATGTTAACTTTAGATGTACAATTTTCAGACTCCATCTAGGGCTTATTGCCCGTCCGAGGAATGGCGCGTACAGGATACCCTATGTAATGGTTCGTACAGTCAAAATGGGAAGCAGAAAAATGGGTTCATTTGTTTTTCGAACTCACGCAATTCCTCTTTTTAAACGGTCCGCGGGCACGATGGATGCTGATAGGAATTCGAGAAGCAGCAGACCTTTTTTATTTAAGCAGAAATAAAGCGGGGCTGAAGTTTGAATTATGAGTAGGTCATGCGTTGCCAATAGTTTCGACAACTACAAACAGAACTGTTAGGTACAAGTATTTAACCATCACATAGAAACCTTAAGAAGACACATTAGACATGGATTTACAAGTTTGTCTCGGAACTGTTGAGAATAATTTGTCATTTTTCATTAGAGTTTGCGATATAGCTGCATAGTTTATTTATTTGGTAAAACTCCAAATCATGCATATCATAAACGCAACTTATTTCAGCATAATGTCACCGCAGTTACCATTTAGACCAAAGACTGTTTTATGCTGATTTTCGTAGCCTGATGCTTCAACTGCTCCATCGCTACCTCGAAAACGTTTCCGTTGGTGCGCATTGTCATCTAGTGTATTTGTGATCCCCACATTAGATAACCTCATTAGTTGTATCTGATTGCGTTTAACGCTTACTGGAGGATTTCTTGAATAGCTTCATCTTTTGTTAACGTTAAAGGATCAAGGAAAATACAAGTAACACGTTTCTTTTCAGCCAGCGAGTGCCTCTGCCTGACATATTTGAGGGATATTTACATGGATTTGAATTGAATCACGAGTTAAGTTATTTTCCTATAGAATACTGTGGTAAATTTATTACTTCAGTTTTACTGCCACATGCGGTATTATATGAGGCCAAATGGCCTAGTTCTAAGTTAAACTGAAGAGATGTTTTAAAAAGCATTAGGGTATGAGGGACATAAGTCTGCTGACAGAAAAATTCATTTGTTTTCTGCTTGCTGTCAAAAGTTTTTTTTATTAACATGTGTACATGCCAGTGAATATTTATGTGTTCGGAACACGCGTTTACAACAGGGTTTATTTGTACAAGAATTCCAAAAAAGCAGGTCAACCGTTAAGTATATCTGACTGTTTTAACATATTTAACCGGAGTAAAATGTTGACTTGTTTAAGGTAATTAAAGACATATGCATGTTTGATGCTCTACCAACAGACACCATATCGGAAAATCAGATTTGCTCATACTTAATATTTACTGCATAATTAATCCGTCCTCTAATCTGTTGATGTAGTGAAACGGTGATATCTGGAAAATCAAATAAATCGAAAAAGAAGTTGACTGAATGCTTAGCTCATTTTACTAATAAAACGTCCTGAAACTCGATACTTAAAGTCAGCTGTGAAAGAAAATGTAAAGCCGCTCATATGAAAGGAAACAGGGATAAAGCTCTGAAGTTGTCACCTGCTTTCGCATTGGTCAGGTGAACGGGTTTGAAGTTCTGTTCATAACATGACCCCAAAAACGTGCCACTTAATCGATGTATCTTAATGACATCTAAAAAGATGTCGAGTAAATTGAATCCTGAGTTAAACTTGCCAGCTAACTAAGCACATATATAGTAGTACATAGTGGGGAAGCAAGCTTATGACGTCCGGCTACCGAACTTTGAGTGATTTTTTTTTGAACTCTTCACACGCTTTAGACTTTGCTCATTAGCTGGATACCTTCCTGAGTTCCCCTTTTTGGTGCAGAATAAGTTCTTAAAAATTTTGTTCACAAAATTTACACTGTGGTTGGAATAGAGCACTATCCTATATTCCGACAATTTCTTGTGTTAGTAATTGCCATAAACTTTTGCATTGCTCTCAGCTTAGAAACAAGCTTTGATGATTTTTAATTGACTTAAATCTGGCGAAGTTAGATGTAAATAATTATGCTATTTCCGGAACCATAGGAGACATATCTTCCTTAAAAATTCTGGTTTGTACATCAGTGTAATTATATTGGTTTTAGTATACCAGTATTTTCCGGCATATGCAAGTAACCGGGAACCTGTGGAACACATTATGTACTTGCATGTTTCTGCAATAGGTTTTTTAGGGACAAACTGGGAGTGAATATAAGCAGAAATGGAAAGTAGCGTCGGGAAAAGCGTCCGCATGCATCAGGAAAGTGCAAAAGCTGTCAAACTGGAGTATGCAAGCATTCCCCTTTTACGAAAGTTGCCAATGCTGGTAGATGTACGGCACTTGTGCTAGCTCATGAAAGGTTAAGCGAAGTTAGGTTATTTATTTTCGAGTAAAGAGGCTTTCTCAAGGGGAGCTGCCGTCTGATTATCTTGTGGCATAATCTAAAACTACTCCAATCGCACTAAAATAGCGACCACTTTGTCGGCTTTTTTTTGGCCGCCTGGAAACATTTCAATTGTAAAAACTACTATAGTGCGTTTTGCCTATCTAATTTCAATCCGTTTTACAGAAAATAAACACAAAAGTATTATTTCTCCTTCAGATCTGGTAGGACATCGCATTACTTCAAACTGTATACTCGAAGAATAGCTATATATAGATTGTGAAAATTCTCAATTTCTGAACAATTTTAAACTCGACCTGATGTTTTAGTTGTAAGAAGGTATTCAGAAGCGCCTTCTGGATACTTTCTAGGTGAGAGAAAATCATAAACAGTTTTTTCATAAATATGGATTGTGTTGAATTCTTCATATGTAGAAGAATTAATCAGGATATATGATGTTGTGTGAATGGGCATTTTATGGTCCTAAGGCTGGAGAATACCCCATCATCAACGGCAAAATTCAAATTAGTTTGGCGATCATTTCATACTAGTTGTGGGTTTCCCAGGCGATCGGAAAGAAACACTCCAAACCAGTGTCCTGTCGTGACTGAAATATATTGAGGCGTGCAGCTCGATAAGCAATATTTCAGCTCTGTCCAAGTTACCCTTTCTACCCGTTAATACATACTGGGATATCTGTTAACATTTCGTCAGATAGGTTAGGGACTGTAATCTTACATCACATGCCTTCATCGTTTGAGTTTTATCTTCCTACTCTGCAAACAGTAACTCTTGCGACAGGACTTTGCTATTCACATCTATTCAACAAAAGTGGCTTAAGAAGCTTTACGAGATATGCGAAAAAACTCGCAGGTTGCTGAATATTGAAGACTTCACGCGACTGTCCGGATTTAGATAAGACCTACCTTTTCTTGCTGAAGAAATCAGTGAGTACGTAAAAGAAATCCGCACAAGTTCGCAATCACCGGTTTAGCGGCGGAACTGGCCAAAAAAAGCTAGGAAAGAATGTCTTCTCCCAGCATGAACGCGTTTTGGCGTCGTTACTGTAGAATTTTAACGAGCTACTCATCTCAATTTTCCGAACTATACAATTCCCGAGAGGATAGGAGTGTTAGCTCTCCTTTCTTCGTATGTCTGTTGGATAAAGTGCTAGCGGGGAAACCGAGACAACGCCACATACAGTACTTGGGCTAACTCATGAAATATCGGCCGAAATTTTGAGATGCGTACTCGTTTGGAAAAAATTTATTATGGTTACAAAAATAATTAACTTCTAGCATAAATCTATAATGATCCAGTTACCTCAGATGTTTTCCTTTAAACGAACTTATTTCTGATTGCATGCAAGGTCCATACTCGGCAAAAAATGACAATTTAAGTAGCATGCAATTTTCTCATTGATTTTTGATGCCATTAAAATTTCACTTATAGTTCATGATAAGACTGCACAAACATATTCATTCTTATATTTATTCGATAGAAAATTACGTCTTCTTTCAATTTTATACTCGAAAGAGGAGCATAGTTCGGTTTCAAAAAAGTTTCTTACTATGAAATTTAGTAATACCGTGAAATGGCCGTACACAAAACGTCATATATCTGCATTTACCAATGTGGCCTGTAAAGTTAACAATACTGCTCAAATCTACTGCTCAATTTTATAAACCCCATATGGTTTCCTGATAATACCGTAGAGAAGTGTATAGTTTTCCCTACACGACAAATATGCGGCTTGTAGTTCTGAAACCCTGAATGCAAGTATAACAGCAGGTTGGGCTAAGAATTATTCGGAACTTCAAAACGGTTTTTTTAAACTGAATTATACTTCATCTTCGAGTATAACATTGGAATAAGACGTAATTTGCTATCAAAAAAATAAAGAAGTGAACATTTTATGCACGGTTTCCATGAAATATTATTAAGGGAATCGAAAAACAGTGAAAACGTTTCATGCTACATAAGTAGTCATTTGTTGCAGAGCATAGTTCTTGCATGCAATCGGAAATACGTTCCTTTGAAAGCCAGCACTCTGAAGTATCTGGATCTTTATGGACTTATGCGGCGGTTATAAGAAGCGCTAACCGATCGTTCTTACGGAACTCACTCGTTCCGTTGTGTCTTATGGACTCTCTCTCTCCAACCCAACCAGCAGCAGCATCTGTATGTTCTCATTTTTCATAGCAATTATCTGGTAGCCCATAAGTTATGCTGTATGAGAACGATTTTCAAACGACTTTAGCCTCACTGTATCAATCAAGAAGAAAAATCATATTAGTCGTGATACTTCGGCAAATTATTTGTGAGAAATATCTAACTAAAGGCGTTTGTGGGCCGATTCCTGCATGCTATTCCCTAAAAAACTCAAAAAGAACACCACCGAAGATATCGTATACCTTGCCATGCACTCAGGACGATTCAGGGGCGATTAAACGCACTGCTGTTGACTAGGAATCGGAAAGACACGCCGGTCCAAAGCTACGTTGCCAATAGGTTCATGAAAATTAAGTAAAAGTTGAAGCCCAGCAAGCAGTTTGATGTAGCGCGTCATAATCCGCGCCTATGCTATCCTTAGAATTTAATTAGTCGGATTGAACGCATGCCAGGATTGCGTACACATGGGCAAAATCTGGTCATGCGACCGGGTGGCGAATTATTACAAGTGGCCGTTCCCACCTTCATAACGGCCCATGAGTTTAATTTTGCAAACATCGTGGTCATTGCGCATGCCGGGAATCGACTGAAAGTTAAGCCTTGGATAAGAACTCAAGCAATTGGTGTATCGATCTTTCGCCGTCATAGAGTTCGGCGCGGTCACCTCCAGACCTACGTCACTGGTTGTTGGTTAGACAATGTTGTTTATAGCTTCCACTTGTTCTATTAGCACTATCCTCCTTAAAAATAGACGTCTGCGAGGGTTCGCCACATTAAAATGATAGGCAAATTGTTTCGATGCTCGACTAGTTTCTTTCATTACCACATAACACTGGAAGTTGGACATTCACCTTCATATTGAGACATTCTAAACTATCCTACTTTGGATTTCGATCTAGTGTACAGGATTCCACAATCTTTATTCGTAATGGTACATAGTTGAAAAACAGCAGTCCACGCACTTCAAAATTTCGCCTAATGTGATTTTTTAGATATTTGAATTGTAGAGAACTCGTTACAAATTCAATGTTCCTCAGTTTCATGACAAATTAAGGTTATGGCACAATGGGATGAGTGATTTCCGTGGAAGCAATCGGTGAGCGCCCCTCTATGATTGTCTACTTCCAACCTTGACCGACAAGACAACGAGCTCGTGACTCAGTGATTAAAGGCGTTTGACTTTTAACTAGCAGGTCGCGAGTTCGAGCCCCAGGTGTCCCACACTTCGGGATTGGCTGTGACTGGCTGATGACTGCTAATAAGTCACAAATGGTCATTCCAGTCTCCCTTGTTTTGATCGGTAATTCAAAAGAAAATTTGGCCAGCATACGTAAGCGTTCGATAAATTATCATCGGACTTATACAGTTATATTGTTATCGAAGTGATGAAAGAGTAAATGCGGACAAACAGAAGTTTTTCTGTAGCTGGGGTTCGAGGGGGGTGTCTGGGTGGGTGAGGTGAAAAACAAAATTACCGAAGGAGGAATTGGCGGGCACTGAGACGGGTAATCATACGCAGGTGGCTGGCATGGTGGCTTTAACCAATGCATTGTCGATAATAGCATTCTGCAAATAAAGATTGTTTTGGCTGGTCTCCATTGCACTTGTACTTCGTCCCTCGGCGAGGTTTGGAGAAATATATCGAACAACTTATATTTATACTTATTTACTCAGAACGGTCAGGTTGGGTAATTATGTAAACAATTTCGTATATATATATATATACCTTAAAATCAGCGGCAGCAAATTATTGAAGTATACATGTAGGTCCGTCCAACTAATGATGCCATAAAATCTGGCAGTGACCTATCCTGACCATCTGGGCAAATTTGTAGGTTTTTTCTACCGGTCAACATTGCCGCGAAAGGTCATATGCATTTTTAAATAGCGGACAGCCCCACGTCCTCTTGGGTTACTCATGTAAAGTATCATTAATTCACAAAGTGCTGACTTCAAATTTTGAAAATGTTTTCAAATAAAAATTATCTCTTAAACGAGTCAACAAATTGATTTTTACCGATCACTAGCCCAAACCACTTCATGCAAGTCAAGAAGCTCTCCGTTAGTCAAGCAGCTTCCTGGATGCCTGTGAAAACATTATTCAAATTGCTCATCAATAAAGTGCTACTTTTAATTACTTTGATGCTTAATTAAGTTGCATTTATTTACAATAAAGATGGGCAGTAAACTCAACGTATGCATGCTTTAGGAAAACTGGCTTCTTCTGTCATTTATAAAGGTGTGATTCTTTCTCATAAGTTCTCAATTGTGCTAATTTTCGGAACCTCAACTGACTCTTTTTACAGGAACTATCTTCACACTGCTGGCCTTCTGCAGCAAACCACACGAGAGTTACGCTGGGCCAATACGGGAGCGATGTCTGAGCACGGCATGTGTTATTGGACTGCACACTCATAGCAAATGTAATGTGTGCGGGTGTGGTGAAGCGCCTAGGCGCAGACTCCCGCCGCGCCAGCCTCTCGCGACGGATACCGCCTGCGGTCTTATTTAATTTTGTCTTGATACCGGACGCAGGAGGATGGGGAAAGAGGGAGTGCGGTAGACGCGGCGTAAGCCCAAAATCTCCATAAACTAGTTCATGCGCACGTCATTGTGCCTGCGCTGTTGGGCAGACAGTGAGCATCGCCGGACTCTACGATCGAATTGTCATGTACACATTCAGTAATGTTAACTTCAAAGTACTGAAGGTTGTTTATGTTTTATTTTAGAAGTTGGTTCGCTCATCAGGTTACGGAAAATACTCTTTCCATTGTGCCCGGAAGCCACGTAATCAGTCGCGCAGCGACCAACCATATTGACCGCAACAACAGATATCGGGCGTAAGACGATCGCTAAATAGCGACGTTAAAACATATCTTATTTTAGTCTAACGCACATAGCACGATAAAAACTTTCAATATTTCAAAATTTTGCCGAGATCATAAAACGTTTACAAGACATCAATAAAATATTTCTAATTTTTAATTTTCAGGGCTACGCGATCATACACATTTTACACGTTATTTCTAGAGAGTAGCATTACATTTGAGAGGTCAGTTCAAATCAATGTAGAAAATGTATTATTTCACTTTTATGGCTGCGATATATCTATAGGTCTGAAACAAACTCCGTTCAATGTTTAAGACATAAGCTGGAAATTGCTGTTCAAGCTATTTGTCGTTATGACCCCAATAAAAGGCATTGCAGACGGGAACGACTGCATCGTACCTTCGAAAATTCACTGCTGACTTTTCCGTTTTTTATTTGATCGTGTGACCTTTGAGCGCAATTATAAGTATTCAGCACAGCTGCTGAAAATACGGTGTTTATCATTAGTGCTGAAAGGTATAGGTCAGTCTTCAGGGACTTTTGCATTGCTGCTGCTATTTGAAAACAGACAAATGCCGTTCGCGGTAACATGCTTTTCATCTTCTTCGACTTCAAGGATGGTAAACTCAAACAATGATCGAACATTCGCAGGCATTTAAAAAATGTCTCCATTCTCTATTAGGGCGTCCTAGTCCGAAACCCGCCTGGCAGAATATGAATTCTTTAACGAAAGTCTTCTTGGCCCTCTGGGAAAATGGAGTTCATTTTCTGCGCACGTTGCGTATTTACCTTGCTCTGACCTCTCTTTCATTGGGATACCCAATTCTATTTGAGAAATCCATTTAACAAACACGTGTTTTCGGTAACTTGTCATCGGGCCAAAGCAGTCACATAGAAGTTGCAATTATGCGAAGTTACAGAGTGTTTAAGTGATTTAGGGTTTATTAACACTCGTCGTCCCCACGCCACCCATCGTTCCCACGCCGTTTCCACCGAAAACACGTATTTGCCAAATTGACTTTTCAAATGTAACATGAGAATATTCGCTGAACAATCCTATTTTGTTCAACAGCTCTAGTTATGCTGTCTAAAAGGCATCTACAAGCAATCGACTCGGCATATCTAAGACACGGCTAGCTGCTATGGTCAAGCATCGCGCTTGCCGCAATTTGGCTAAATGCTTTTTCGGGAATTGACGTGTGCACCTCCTTGGGTTGATGAACAAATGAATTCCACTGCTTTTTTAAGCTATCTCGGCAAAGAGGTATTCTGTTTTTCGTTATTCATGCAGGTTGCATTCCATTCGGTTTGGCATATGCACGAGTACTAAGCTATAAATTAGCCGTTTTGAAAATATTTCCACGGCATTTCCAGATACTTATAAGCCTATCTCAAAAGTAGTCATTAGGAGGATTATTGGGAGCAAGCATTTACCGTGTTTTCAGCCGATGCAAGCATTCCTGAAGTCTGTATTTATTCTGATAAGACGGTTGAGGTAAGGCGTGTGCAATCTGTGTACGGCCAGTAGTTTAAACCCTAAAAACTGAACAAACAAAAACACGCTTTTACGGAAAAGACATCTCTTTTAAGACCCTATTAATATGGACTCATAGTTTAAAATAACCCGTTCCAAGAACAAGCTAAATTTGCAATCCCTCTTGCCATATTGCAGTCAAATTTTTATCGCACATTCGCAGGAGTACTGATTAGATCACATAAATGTCAAAAACAAATGGAATGCATGATATCGAAATGGTAGTAACAAAATTAGCGTGTGCGTTGTCATAAAGATGTGCGGTGTCAAGAGCGAATCACGCAGGGCAAACAAAATATCGAAGCACGCATGTATCTTGTATGCGTATTTTCGCATCCTATCTATGTCATGTATTTTACGGCAACTTCACATGAGTAATATTTTTTTCTTGAAAGCCCCTTAAAATGTGGGTACAGATCTGCGTAGTTTTAATGCACGTTAAGTTCAACATACGATGCGATTATATTTAATGGATTCAACTACTTTCCTCATCCCCGTGATTGCTACTCGGATCGCCTGGCGTCGGCTGCTTCATGATCGACCGATATGCTTTCATTTATACTGAAATAAGCCAGGGAATGTTTTTTAACGAATCAATGCAGACAGGGTAAAAGGTTCTGAAACGAATCATCCAGACTCCTACTTTTATCGTTTGAATAAACGGTTAGCGGAGGAGTTCGTGATCAAAACACAACAAATCGTGGTATATTAACACCCCATGCACTGCTGTCCACAGACAGGGTGGCGATTTTGCGCTCAAGGTAGCAGACTGATCGCTGGCCTGTCACAAATATTCTTAAAGCCACAATGGCACGTCTGACTGAAGCTTGCCCGTAAATGCATGCTAAGGCCATAGTTGGAACACGACGTGTACTAGACTCTGGACAGGCATTTATCCCATAGTGTTCGTGTGGGTCGATCAGAGCTGAATCCATTCCTATTATACGCCAGTGACTAGTAAACGAGCATTTTCATACATCTTCAACTGGCCAAGTTGAATCGTACTATATAAACCAAACAGTGTTTAATGTAGAAACTTTCAATCCTTTGACACTGCGCAACAGCGTTAATAAAATGTCGGACGCGCAAATGTCATGCTCTTGTTTTATCACCACCTGAAAATGCACACTTCACGTGTGTTTACCGTGGCCATCCTTCGTCAAAGCTATGAGATGAGAACAAGCCTATTCTCTGGACCAGCAACTAAGTGCATCTTGATGAGTCCTCTCTGAAAAATAGTACCAAGCCGAAAAGGGGGCATCATATCCGCAGTAACAACGATTTCATTTCCAGGTTTTAAGCGCAATTTTTTGTTTATAACCCTCAGAGCATATGCAGAATTCTCCCAATAATCCGCCGCAGGCGACATATCATTTCCGAAGGACGGCGAAAGATTCGGTAGTTAAGGGGACGTGACATTTTGGATGTATTTTAATCCTCTTTTTTGTTGACGTTTTATACTTTTCAAGACTACCTTCACTTTGACTTTGGGCGACGGCTTTTCATATACCTGCCACTATGACGATGGTTTCAAAAATTATTGTCGATAAAACACCACGATGCAAACAAGCCTGACGGAAAGTGCGAATTTACAGTGTGTTTTTAAAGTGACTGATAGTAGGCGGGACGCTTCATTTTAATAAGATAATGGAGATGTGAACTACATGTGTAGTGTTTATACATTGAAAGAACTAGTCCTCTATCAACACGACATACTAAAATTATTTTACTAATATTAATGAGTATAGGAAAACATGCTCATTGACAAATTCATAAAATATTGGGGAAAGTTGCGCATCGCCTAAATAAATATCTACATAGTCAGCTGTGTAACATAATTAAGGAATGACAGGTTAGTCGAATTCTGCTATGTTTTGGCCGTTCAGCTCTTAGTCTCTGCCTATATAAACATACTCGCCATCTGTTCGTTTTTTATCTCTCCGAAATGTCCCAACCGTTTAAAATTAGTATTGGTGCTGCAAGTAAAAAATGAGATTTCAAACTTTTCTCCTGTCAAAACGTGCTTTCAGAGTTGAGAATCGCGACGTTATGTCAACCTGTCATGAAACAAATTGTGCCCTCTACCAAAAATCTGTCCATATATTTAGCATAATATGAAAGGAATAAGACATAAAAGCTAATGCACACAACATGGTTCTTCCTCGTGATTTGTAAACGGGCTTGATTATATCGCAGGAGGTGAGCGATAAAGTTAAAATGTGCCCACTGGAGAGAGAGAAAGGAAGAGCCTAGGATTTGTCCTGAAGTCAGCATCTCAAAATTTTCAGAAAACATCCGTTCACTTTGACCAGGATGGAATGAAAAAAGATGGAAATTGAAAATGCAATAAATGGCCTATTTCATGAAATGCTAACAGAACATATGCAGTGTTTTCCTATCAAAAGGGATTACTTGTGTAAGGTAATAATATTGACTGTCATGCAGCTTAATCCCAGGGTAGTTATGTCACAATCGGAAACCAATTTCGAATGAATCCCTTATTCGACTACAGGTAGACCTATACTCGAACTAAAGTGAACTTGTAGGTAGCACGGATATTTCGATTGATTTTTGATGTCTTTGGACTTTCAAAATATTTTTCATGTCCTTATTTGGTAGAGAATAATGTCTCCTTCAAATTTTCTGCTCAAAGGTACGGAGTTGAAACTTAAACTCCTCATGATTATGGGGCTTTTTAAGACCTCAAAAGGTCAATTCCTAGAACATCCTATCTGTCCAATAATAAATGCCGTTTGTGGAACATTTAACAGGATCCACCTCCATTTAGAAATCTCAGGCACATTTTATGACCTTCCTAACTGTGTTAAATGCGTGACTTTCCCAAGGCGGAAAGTATGCACTAGGTAGTCTGAAATCCCTAAACGCAGGTGTAAAAACTGGTCAGATTTGAAAACCACTAGGGAAGTAAAACTTTTTCAAAGCTAAAGGTTTCATTTCTATAATTATACATTTTGAAGACGTCATTTTCTACCAACTAAGCATAAGAAGGAATATTTATGCGCATGTTGTGTATGCTATGCGTTTGAAAATGTCCAGGCATCAAAAATCAATGGGCAATGTTTACGCTACTTGAGTGACGTGTTTTTCATCGAGTATTGGTTTTGTTTGCGGCTGACGAGGATCTCATACAAGAGTCGGTATTCGGGCATGACTAGAATATCTTGTGATTAGGTTGCATGATAATCGACATTGCAACCACACACCAGTAATGCTTTCTAATCAGAAACAAGTTGCATAGGTTCGGCTAATATTTCATGAGATTGGCCAGATACATAATGTTTACATTTCGAACACGAAGAAGTATCTACAAACAGGGTTGACGGCAGGACTGCATTGCTGATGTGGTTACCCTCCTACAGCGGTCAAACCCAACCACAATAGCGAAGTAAACAGTCCTGACTGGGTGATGCACCAACTACTGTAAACTACAGCCGCCTAGCTGCATTCGTTTTCCCCTACCTAAAAAAGAGTGAAGATCCGCGGGACGCAGATGTCGCTATTTTCATGCGACGCATGAATAAAATGTCCTTAGATAAAGCATCCTAATAAACAACAACCAGTGAAAGCTGTCTGAGGCATAGACGTTTATCTCTCTCATCATGCACAGATGTATGTCAAAGGTGTTTAAAAATACGAGCAAAATATGACGAAATTAGGATCATTGTTCCTGAACAAATAGCGGCTGCTCTGCTTGGTTATCAGCTGCCGCCGATCACGGATAACGTTCTTGAGTTGATCATATTTTTCAGTCTGTTTACTGCGAAGATGGTACGTGAGAAGAGATCAACTTAGCACTCGAACGAGAAATCGGTCGGTGGGCGTGTCTATCTTCAGTAATCGCAGGTACATCTACGCAAAGATCTTCGGATTGCCGATCAAATTGAGTAGACTAGATTCAAGAATCAGTTCCGGGGAGGATGATGCGATTGCAGAGACCATTTTCATTGAAATATCAGAAACAGATAAGAGTGATGAACGCACTTGAGACGCAGTATTTATAGCCTGTGAATAAACTGAAACTACACGCCTAACATAGTTGATAACTCACGCATAAACCGCCGGTTGTCGTACCCCGTGCTATGACCGACTGGGAACAACAACATGTAATTATTAGTTAAGTTAACCGTAACCCACAGCCCCACAGTATTAGATCATATGAAATGCATGGCTTTTTGGAATTCCCCTCAATGGAACTTTATCTCTGCAGTAAGTGGGGTGTTTGTGGTAAGCGGTAACTCTCCTACAAATGCGAAGATGGCATGTGATAAGAGATCAAATCAGCGATCAAATGAGAATTCGGTCGGTGGGCATGCCTATCTTCAGTAATCGCAGATTATTATCCGCAAAGATCTTCGGATTGCCGATAAAAGTGAATATACTAGTTTCGGGAAGCAGTTCAGGGAAAGATTATGCGATTGCAGAGACAACAGTTTCACTGAAATGACGTTTCCAATTTTGACACAAGTCCAATATCAGAGACAGAAGCTGATAAGAGTGATGAACGCACTTGAGACGCTGTATTTATAGCATGCGATTAAATTGAAACTACACGCCTAACATAGCTGATAACTCACGCATAAACCGCCGGTGCTACGACTGACTGGGAACAACAATAAGTACTCATTAGTTAAGTTGATAAAAGTCAAGCTTTTGGCTGTTGCATTCCTACATTTAAAGGTGAAGGTCTGTGTTCTTAGGAAAGGTCAAATACCGGAAATATGTTGATGCCTTAAATCATGTCGAGCTGGTGCTTCCAACTATGCACGCTCAATGGGATCACTATCGCGATTTTTCAAAATCGGAATTCGCATAGAACGAGGTACGAGGCGGCCACTACAAATAACATGAGAATTATGGCCTGACACACTTTGCCTCAGCAGACCCTATTTCCATCTCCCTGATTCCGCAACGTCTACAACAACCCTCACATACTTTCCCCTGATTTGCTCACAAGTATAATGGACCGTCTGCTCGAGGTTCAGGCTGATTTCAGGCATTTCGAACTATATAGAAATCCTGTCTGATTGGTTTTTGTTCTAAATACCCCAAAGTGCCCCAGCTGTCATCAGGCCGGCATTCCTGTTTAGCAAGGAAGATTTTATATCTCGATCGCGGGACTTTTATTCGTTCTCCACTTGGACACGGAAATGTAAATCCCCGTGCCGCAGGTAGCCATTTACTAAAGACAAGAGAGTTAGACCTGTGACTGGTGTTATTTTTAAGCTAAAGTTAGTTTTGGAATTGAGGGTGGGAAGTTATGGTTCCTGTCAGGGTGGAGGTCAAAGCAGAGATATGAGAGTATGAAACTCCCCCCTCCCCTTTAATTTAACATGAGTGCACCTTTGATATTGGAGGATCCACATTTCCGTGACCGAAAAGCTCTTCAACTATTTCCGGTCATTGTAGAGGTTCCTACGTCTTCAGTGCTGTGATTGGTAATGTGTGCGCTCTCAGAATATGAAGACGTTTAGGTTAGATCGCAGTTGGTAGCCAGGAATGGGAAGCGGACTGCGACCTCAACCCTAATCCCAACCTTAAACCTAACCCTAACCTCAACCTTAAGCGTTATCTGTTAACCCTAACGGAAACACAAACCGTAATATTGAAGCCTATTCGTACATTCAAACCCTAACCGTAACCCGAAAACCTAAGCCCAGATGCATAACCCTAATTTGAAAATCGGAAACTATTAACCGGCACCCTAATCCTAACCTCAAACGTAAAACGGAAGCCAAATGGGTCAGATGAGATTATGGAGCCCCACAAAATAGCCTCAGTAAACAAACCCCCAGCCATCTGTAATACGGGGTCGGGCTATCAACTGCGATCTAACCGACGTTTTATCTCGATAACATTTCGATCTTGAGCTGCAAGTTCATCCTTACCACTAGAGCTTCCCCGTCATGTGGACGAGTAAATCTCATCATGTAACTAAATCGCGATTTTTTGATTTAAAAGTACTGGATTGCATTTTTCGGAGACACAGCTATTCAGGGCTTGGTTATGTAGTAAGTGCATTATGGACATACTCGTCTCATTGTGCTTTGAGTCTCAATGTTGAATCCGCGCAGAATGCCGCATGCAGTCCGGTACTTAAGTTGAAACGAGTCTCGTCTAAAACAAGGTAGGCTGGAATGACCATTTCTGGCTTGTTTGACAGTCAAGTTGCGCCACACCTGGGCCTCAGACCTGCGTTCTATGGTCATCGAGTGTGATTAAGTTCACTGCCTCGCCACTTGGACCGTTATCCTGTCGGTTTTTGTCAGGCATATTAATTACGCAATATTCCCCCCTGTTTTGCCTTATCACTCAAAGCAGGGGGCTCGTAGGCAGCTGCATAGCGACCAGAAAGCCAGGATCACACTTTTTTACATTTGCAGTTGGCTTTAGTGCAGGATTTGAATAAGTGGGAACAATGCACCCTATCCGCTTTAAGCTCAATTCCACACTGCTGTACAAAGAAGACACGATCTCAAGCATCATCTGCTTATCACCTTGACACACGCATAATGTAGGGAATGTTTCTTGGCTCAAAGCAGTCAGTAAATTGGATGACAAAAACGGGTACAGATATCACGCATAGCGTAGAAAGAAGAGCATAATTCAATCCACTTCAATACCCATATTTCCCGACTGTTGAGGTTCTCCCTTCAACAATGCCACCCAAGTAGGTTCTCGTTCCTTTGAAATCAATCTGCGACAGGTTGACTATTAAAAACCAGCGCACTTTGTCGTCCCATGTTTATTTGGACCATGAGATGAGCTTGTGTCCCGAACTTCCCATCGTTCACTTCCCACGGTTAACTCTACCAGTAAGTACGGTCTGCATGCTGACGAGTCACTTCCGGTTTGAAACACGATCGGGCCTTAAACCGCCTGAATGTGAGCGCGGTGGAATCGGTATGGTCTTTTTTGCGGAAGAGCAGGTGATAGGGACATTTTTGTGACATGCGTAGGTTTGTCTAGTCTTCCAACTTGTACATCCCATATCTCGTCAGACTTGTTTTGGTCATTTTGCTAACCCATGTCGCGAGTCACTCCGTCCGCACATGCTGTTTATCGTCCATCCCCTACCGTGCCGCTCATCACCCACAATGCGATGTTTGTTCCGGACAGTCCACAAAACAACGTCTCATAACATATTTATAATAAACATTCTTTCCAAGTTAATTAGACGTCTGGAAATTCGATATCAGTAATTACAGTGTGTCTGCCTTTTAAGGGGATGCAGCAAGCGACCAAGTAAGACGACGCCTGAAGACAACGACCACTATTGTTTTCCCTGTAGCGAATTTACACGTATGTTTCATAAACCCTCCTCTCCTATGCTTGGAAGAAAAAGACCGGCTATCGTCGCAAACCACATCGATGTGTATTTACTAAATCACTTGCTCCTGTGGGTTGGGATACAGAAGCCTGGAAACGTAAGCACGTAACACATACCGGCCTGGCTAGACAGAGGTGAAAACAGATCGATTTTAAATTCTCTTCTCGCACATCTTATCGATACGAATCACCGAGTCGCTACCAAAGATGCCTTTCATGTTGTCTACCGGACTCCAACAAGCTTCTTCAGAGTCCTAAAAAAAACGTACGTGAGCTACAGTCGAGGCAGTGTCTATACGACTAGCGAATCCAGTGCTATGCTGTCAGAAGGCGCTCTGTCTTCTGTGACCAAGGCCAACCCCAGTTAGTCATTACATGGCGTCTCAGCCCTTTGACAAGAGTGATGTGAAGTCCGCGTACCCGATTTACAAGCATCACACATGGGTTATCCCATTCCCTCCTTTTTCCAGTGGTCATAACGCGCCGACCTCGTCATACGGGTGGAGTGGGAGCGATAAGTGTTAATAACCCCTAAGACACTTATAAACCTTGTGAACGTCTCATATTTCCAATTTATATGTGACTGCATCGGCCTGATGATGAGTTACCGAAAATACCCGCCTACTAAATTGACTTTTAAATTTTATTGTTGGAAGGAGCACTTTTACTCGGAAAGTGATAACCGTCAGTTAGGTCCGACAGACCATTATTGGCTATTTCAAGTTACCCACGATGGAATAAATGCATTCCCATATACAAAAATTTTATGGTGAATATAGCTCACACACCAGCTACTGTAAAGCCAGAAGTAAAGGGGTGCTGTTCCCACGGAATACTAAGACTGAGCTGTTCGTAGGCTGGTCTGTGATACTCCGCAGTCGCATCTAAGAAAGGAGATTGGAGGACTGCCGGACAGTAGTATATCATGTGAAATGCATGGCTTTTTGGAATTCCCCTCAATGGCACTTTCTCTCTTCAGTAAGTAAGGTGTTTGAGGTAAGTGGTGACACATATCTAAATGCACTCTGTATTTAGTGCTTTAGATTCTGATGTCCTTCAACTTCTCTGATACTTAAGATTTAACGTAAGCCATTTGATATGAACTCGCGCTGGAATATTTTGAGTAATAAAATCAACCGCCGTAGTCATGTTGGCAGTGCGTTTCGGGCAGTTACCTTTGAGTTCATTGGGAAATCTAGCACTCTTTAATTTTCTCAGACATTCTGCAGGTTCTGAGTCAGTTGCGCCTGTTTCATCTTTCTTCTCTGGTTCGTCTAGAACATTGTTCGGATATATGAGAAAAGGTTCAGCTATGGAAATGTAAACTGGTTTCTTCGAATGAAAACCTGTGTTATACGCCAATATGTAAAATTAGAATATCTCTATTCTGACGCAGTTTCCATCTCTACTTAGGTGTTCCTTTGCAGTGGATTTGTCGCAGGGCTTCAATTATAATGATACCCCAGCGACTACAACCTTCAGGATCTATCCCGTACATAAAGAGAAGGAGTTGGACACCAGTTACATGATTCTTGTACTCCGTGCAGAATAACTGGAGAAGGGGAAAGAGAGTGCTGGCAGGCGGACGAGGGTACGTCCGGCGCCGAGAGAACGGCATCCCGGGTGCTAGCGTGCTCCGCCGTCGTGCTCTATTGTTAAGTTTTCTTAACGTTCAAACATATCTACATTATTTACTGCTCAGTTTTACTTGCTGCTTTTAAGGCTAGGGGCTCCTGAGACATAACTCGATAGTTCGTGAGAACATTACCATTTACGACAAAACTGCCTAGGAGGGTCCCTTTATTCAAAAACTAATCTTCCAGATTTCGGGTTGTTCTTATTGCGGTCGTAGTCTGTTCACTCGGTGCTTGATTTGCTTGGTAAAATAACTTGGGCGTCCATTGGTCCGAAAGAGGTCATGAAGTATTGTCGCTCAGCTTCTTCGCCGGCTGGCGGGCTGCAGTGCGTTTCAACTCTTTGGAAAAGAGTACAGACACTACGCGGTTGTGAGAGATGGGGTGCTGGTTGTAGTATTTGTCTTGTGTTGGTGGCTTTTCTGTAAACGGTAGTTTTCAGTTGGCCATTTGCACACCGGTGCACAAGTATATTGAGGAAGGGGATTTGATCGTCACTTTCAGTTTCCATTCCGAATTGGATATTCCGGTCAACCTCCTCCTCTTCGTCTTCCCTCCTCATTCCTCTTGGTTTAGTATTCGTTTCAGATTGGTGATGATCATGTGGTCACCAGGATATAATCTGCATCTGCCTTTGGCGTCCTAGCGTCTATTTTAGGAATTGTTTCCTTTACTGCATAATTTTATGCTGTGCGGTCTGGAGGACGACTTCAAACGTTGTCGGAATTCGGATGTGTGACGTAATCCGTATCTGCGTGGGCGGTATGTAATAGAATCCTTAAGGAACGACAGTTTTCTCGTTTAACAGCCGCACACTCGCCCCCCCGCCCCCCCAGTCAGGTTTTACGCAACACCATGTTCATCTTTGCTGATAACCAGAGCAAACAGTACCGTCATTCTGATAAAGGACCACGTGACTACGCGGTCTTACTCTAGAAAGCTGACGAACGCTACAACCCTTTGAACTGCTCGAACCCGTCGCACTGTGAACGATTTTCTCTGAACACCTGAGTGCGGAAGACGACCATCAGTTCAGTCATGAATCGAGAGTTCTTAGAAAAAAAAAGTCCCCCATTTCAAAGTTATTATGACCGATAATAGTCGACTGCTGGCAAACTGGAAATAATAAGTTTTCATTTTTACTCACCAGCCTCAACTTTGGGTTACTCTGGAAGTCCGTACGTGTGAGAGCGCAAGCAAAGCTTTGCCACTGGTTGCTACTGAATTGCGTACTCCCCTGTTTATGAAATAAGCTCAAAATGTCGGTTAAAAATGCCGCAAGTTGCAATGAATGTCGGACAGAACGCCTCCTCGTCGTCTCAAATAGGAGGCAACAATCCTAAACCCCGCAGGAGGAACCTTCAGGCACGAATACGATTGAACGTAGATTACATATTGGCGACCGAATGAACATTAATCTGAAATGACTGCAAACCCCGGAGAAATAAGAAGAAGAAGAAGAAGAAGAAGACGAAGAAGAAGAAGAAGAAGAAGAGGGCTTAAGGAGGAGGATGACGAATAAAAGAAATTGTGGAACAGCCCCCATGCTGCTGCTCTGGGAGTCTTTTAATTCCCACACTTGCAACATCTGGACTGGATTGACGACGAAAAACCTCAATACGGTCCGTGAGGGAAAATTTAATTGCACACAACATACGCCAACTACTGGGCGGTTACAAGCGGAACCGCATACGTCCGATGCCGAAACCAAATGCGATAGAGACTGCAGAAAATAGGAAATAGCTGGCTACACTGCATTACCGAAAATGTCCAAGGATAAACAAGCTGCAGTGAAACATAAAAGGCTATCACCCTAAACCGAGGGGATTGATCGACAATTGGCTTGGATGCTACGTTTTCCGGCCAGATTCTTAAGCATTGGGTTGACAACTGTTCGAGCATCCTCGACCGACTTTCTGCCACGATTTGCGCTAGAAACACGCTGTGAAATCCAAAGACAACGCATAACAACCGATTTGTTCCTCGCGGCAAGCAACTCAACACGGCGGCGGGCTCCGGAAATCAACAATGAAGATAGGATAGCCCGAACGACTTGCCCAGGTGGTCAAACGAATGTATGGCTGGACGTCGCCAGCATCGTGTTAATTGCAGAAGTATTTAAGGTGACAACTCGCGTGAAGTAGGGTTCTGTACACTCTTCGGCCATATGTTCTCTGCTGTGCTGGCGAACAGTGACCGAAAGGGCCGGTCGGGAATTAACGCTGCCCACCGAACCGACGGAAAGTTGGTCAACATTTTACGTGCGACATAGGAGAAAAGTTTTGAGTTTATGTTGCGTTACCCATTGTAGGCATACTCACACGCCAAATATTACGATGGCGGCGGCTATGCAGCCATTAGCACAAATATGACAATGGTCATGCAGTAAAGAAGCTCCGACTGAGGACTACACGTGGCAGTTGTTAGCGAATTCCACCTCACATCAGTGAAAGTATTCGCCTCCTTGCGGGGGCAAGATTTCAAGTAAAAGCCACAATGACGGCGCAAACGTCAGCGGACTTTCGAAAGCCAGTCAAGCCCACTCATGTCACCGCAAATTCTCCCTTAGCGATAAACTGAAGCCAACGGAAATATCGTTTCAACTGCGTTCGTGTACTGGTGGTGATATGCACAATGCGCCATATTAAGGCAAAAAAATTCGGAGCATCTTCACCTCGGATTAAATGAAAGGAAAAGATAGCGGACGAACGTGTCAAACTTTTATGGTATCCCAACGCAGCACCAAATAAACCTCAAAAATGACCGAGAAGGAACTTTTTAAATGTCTGTTTTATGGTGATGTCGATAAAGGTGTCCGTGGTGATGCACCGAAACGTTAAGAGCGCCTCCCAATCGCCTGGATGCCCTTGAACAGGGTTTGTGGACTGGTGGCGTAACGTCATAAAACTGGTGCAGCAATCTTATCAGCTAAATAAGTAGCAGAAGAGACACAAAAAACTGGGATCCCATAGATCAGCGACGCCAGTACCCGACATTTGTCAACAAACCAGCCTTGCAGTCAGACACCCGGAACACGAAATAGGCCTCATGAGCACTTTCAGACTCACAACAACGTCAAGACCACGTGTTCAACTCCAGCACCTGTCACTGTACATCCCCCCTGAACGTTTCGCATACAACAGGGACGCTGCTAGGACAAAGAGCAGCACATTCAGCAAGGCAGACAGCGTCCATCGGTTTCTGCTGCGCTCCCACATCTAAATCACTTGTCAATCTGCTCAGCAGCTGTGAATATACTGCAGCATGAGCCGAAATCCCTCGCCCGAATCGCCCCTCCACCATCCGCCACGACAGCCTTGCCTAACTACTTTGCATCCACACATTGGACGACCTAGTAGGTCTATTCGGGGCACACCCCAGCGATCCTATAAATGTTATCTAGCACATATGTTCTTATTGTCCACACAAAACCAGTGTGAAGCCCAGTAGCGCCTCAACCGAGATCCGGCCTTCTGCCTCTGGCACCCACGTCATACGATCAGGACGCCCGGGTGCCAAAATGTGAGTACATTCGGCCCCAAGGATAGCCAATCACAGGCGCGCACAAATCCCACTGTCACCCAATCACAACTGACTGACCTTCATGTGACGCTTATTGACTTACGCCTGTTTCACCCTAGCGCATAGACGTGTGCAGACCTACAGCTTGCCCCGCGTCCACGGTTGACAGCCACCTGGCTTCTGTACAGAATATACTACTCCAAATCGCGTTTTTCTCCCTCTCCTGTAAAGCGGGGCCAGGATGCGATTATTGTGGCGTTCTGAGTACATTCCCACTGCTTAGATGCCACAGCCCCTTCCGGTAAGGTGTGCATACACGAAAACCCAGGGTAGATCATAAAAGCCGAGACATCACGTATGTCAACACGCCTTGTAGGCACATATAAACCAACCCCTAAACAGAATCTCCAGGGAATGCATCGGACCAAACTCGGCCGTTAGGTGCTGACATGCTTTAAGTTTTCACTCCATATCAGTCACAGCGCTCAATCTCATTATCAGTAGACAGGCCATTTGATGTAAGGCCAACAGTTGGAAACCCATCACGTTGCACTACCAGTCCTGGCTTGAAAGGTTGACAGCTGACGGTTTAATTCACTTTTACACAGAACTGGGGATCAGGCCGCAGTGGGCTTTCTCCCACTCAGTCTTTCTGGTGGCTGAGATTCAGGATTCCCCCACCCAATAAAGCCTAATACAAGCGGAGTTTGGAACCACGCCTTGTGTGATGGCTGTAGAAAGATTGGCCAGCCTCTTTAGCCAATGCATCTGTCCATGAATTTGGTCTGCCAATGCAGCACGATGAGTAGATGCAGTCCGAAAAATTAATGAGCAATTTCCGACTGCGCCCACCGTCTGAGGAGGTAGTGAACCTCGACAAATGCGACTAACGAACCATCCTACGAGGTTCGCCTAATTAATTTTTAAGGAGATGAATCGTGTGTTTCAGCTAAACGCTGCATTTTCCATGGGTATACGATTCAAAGTGTTATAGTCCTCTACAAGCTCGGATTTGGGTTTTTGACTAGTAAACCAATCTTGGCTGCAGCAAAGGAATGGACACAAATCCGTCGGCCGTTACGCCCCACGCATGAACGTTCGATCGGTGGAACTCAGAGGCAAACATTACAGGCTGGGTAATGGCAATGGACAACTTATATTGAGCGCCTTTGCAGCGAACTCTGTATACAATTTCTATAATAACATTCGCCAATATAAATACAAAAGGTGGGCTAACTCATGAGATGTCAACCGAAATTCTGAAATGCGTTTTCGTTTCGAAAACATTTATCCAGTAGAGTTGGAGAACTGATCGTCCAGCAGCATAATTCTATAATAATTCAGTTACCCCAGGATGCCGGCTTTCGAACGAACTTCTTTCCCGTAGCAAGCAAAAGCTATACTCCGTAAAACTATGACCACTTAAGTAGCATGCACTTTTCGCATTGATTTTCGACGCCCTTAACAATGCAGTTATATTTCATGGAAAACATGCATAGCAATATTAATTCTTTTACTTATTCGGTAGAAAATTACGTCTTTTTCCAATGTTATACTCAAAAAGGCATAATTCGGTTTTTAAAAACTCTTCCAATTCCCGAATAATTTTGAACCCGACCTGCCATTACACTCGACTTCAGGCTTTCCGAACTACAAACCATATAGTTTCCGTGTACGGAAAACCATACGCTTCTCTGCGGTATTTAGTGGACATCATATGGCGTTCATAAAATTGGGCAGTGGATTTGAGCCATGTTGTTAACTTCGCGAACTCCATTGGTAAATGCAGAGACATGGCGTTTTGTAAACGGCCATTTCATGGTACTAAAAAATCTCGCAATTACAAACATTGGTTAACATTCGCCAATATAAATAAGTAAATAATATTTCTAAGTTTCTAATCCCTTAGTGCTGAGAACTGCAGGATACAACTCAATTTGAGCCGGAAATCATGCAGTTTTCGGTGTTCGGGACCCACACGATCCTTAGAGTTGGAGACGTCACGTAGAAAATTAGGAATGGCGGAGCCGCTATTCCTGACGTTTGATACTAATAAGAAGTACGCGGGTTCGGTAAGACCCTTTTTAAAAACTAGATTGGAAGCTATCGTGTGGGCGTCTGTGTTAGTTTGTTTGAGTATGGTTTCGGAATATGTGGGTCAGAAGGAGAACCTAGGTGGGAAAACATAGCTGTTCAGATGCTTCCCAAAAAGGTACGATCAAGACAAACGACATATCACGAGAACGGGGTTTTTCGGGTCGTCTCTGGCCTCTTTGAAGCATTACTCGGTATTGCTCCACTTTCAGGTCACATGTTTAATGCCTTGATTTTAGCGCTTTCACATCTGGAACACAGTTCCAACTCATATCAGTTGCGAGCGGAACTACTTAAGCAATTTGGAATATTGCTCAGCAGTCCACACTGATATCAAACCGCATTCGCGTATTTCTATGAAAGATCCCGATAGTCTGTAGTCCTTCCTGGGAACCGAAAATTGGCTCGACGGCACACTCAAAAGGACGGAAGGCAAATAGTGGTTGCGAAACTAGCTGATACTTGAGGTGGAAATTGAAATATGTCAATAAAGTAAAAGTCCACGTTATCGCGCGAATTACAAACAGCATATTAAACTGGCACCTCAGCAGCTAATATTTCACAGACATTTCGGGGGAGGGGTGTAACTGCTGACGACAAAATTCCATAATTGACCGATTATTCAGTGAGTCTTCTCCACGCTTAACTCCATCGACGAAAAGACTTGCTTTCGTAGAGTCCGTTATTTTGTTGTAAAATAGGACTTATTTTACAAAACTGGGAGTTCTGAAGGACTAAATAAATGTGAAATTATTAATGAGTGGACTAACAGTGTGTGCAATTTGTCATACATCGAAATGCATTTGAATAGAAGTCCTCTCCTCGATTTCGAAGGATGGCGTTGTCCCGAATAATTGCCACGCCATTGCAGCGACAATGAGCTGCCTGAAATCAGTGATTCTTTTGGATATCCCTTTGCAGTTCGTTCCCTACATTACTCATCTTGGATTATGGAATCGAATAAAACTCTCGTTCGTTAGAATCGTCAAATGAAGAGGGTTTATAAAGCTGGAACTCTGCCGTCGGCGTAATTTTAAATCGCAAATCAGAAGTAATTGGACTGCCGGAATAAATCCGCGATCCATGCACATTAAACAACAACACTGTCGGGAAATCGGAACCGACACAATATGCGACCCCATCTAGAATGCGGAGGATATGTCATCGCGTCTTACGGGAAGTGTTCGAAATTTTTTTAAATCCATGAATAGGCTCAGACTGATCCATGCATGACCTTTAAGGCGAACCGGAAGATTGAATATTAGCGAAATTTAATACCGAAAACCGAAGGAAGCTAAGTATAGCGTCTGCACAACAAGACACCAAGTTCAGAGATCAGGCCAGCGAAATAGCTACTAGAAACACAAGGACGAGTGACGTTCGCGAACCCCATAAGAGTAAAGTGGGAAAGCTGGCCCAACGGCGCAACACAATCATGCTGAGCAGCGGAACACAGGAAAGCCGCCAAGGTGCCCAGCAAAGGTAAAGTATGCCAAAGTGGCGTGTATACCAACCGAATGTGATATTTAAGCGAAAATTTATGTTATCTTGAAAAAAGGCAATCGATAGACCCAAATTTAGCAACACTACTTTCGTAAGAGTCAGTGGACAGTAATAAGTACTTCGCGAATTTGGGTCCCTTATTGCATCCTTTCCTAGAAATCCTCCACATCTAAAAGGTTTTGCTATCGGCATCATTTATTACTGGCGCTGAGTTCCAGGAATCAGTTAACCAAGATACGCGATCGTTAAAGCAATAATTTTATTCGGCTGACCTTCCAGATTTACACCCGAGCTCACTACCAGATATAGTGTTAGATAAGTATAATGAATGCCCAGAGGCTGCACTGTTAACAGGATGCAGCTGCCATGTCACCATGTGCCTTTCAAAATCAGGGGCCCCCGAAATCACCGCAGTTGGCAACGACTGACGCGATAGTTGCTCGAAAGCCTACACCCGAGTCATTAACTGTGCGCAATGTCATTACTCGTGTTCGTTATTGACGTAGAAATTACCCGGACATTTGGCTCGTTGACAACGATACTGGAAATGCTGTTTATCGCCGCGCTCCCCGCCTGGTTAATTATTCTGTCCAGGTAGAGTCTCAGCACTGAATATGCAGCAGGCGGTCATTGCGCTTATTAGTAGAAGGCCGTCTGGACAACCAATATTCAAACAACACGCATCCAATGCGGTTGTCGCCCTCCGCAAGAATGCTCATCTTGATGAACTTGAAGGTGTGGGCCACAACTCGGAGACTAGACAGTCCTCCTCACTTCTGCTGCTGCTGTCGCTGCTGCCACATATCCGGCTAACATTGCTCTTGCAAACTTTTTGGGATGTTCTACTATGTCTTCGAACCTGTTTTACTAAATTCATTATTCTGATTGGATTGTCGAGTATTTGCCTAACTGAGTTTGCAATGAAGAAGGCAACATGTTTCACCGGTAATTATTGAAGAAAAGTAAATAGGAATCGCTGGGACCAGAGTTAGGAAATTTGACCGCTGAACATATCTGTATATTCTCAGTGATATAATACCACTTTCTGTGATTTAAGAGACTCATGACTGTATGCGTAACCTAACCGTAGGTAAGGCATGTCATGTCCATAGAAGACCTCTTAATTCAACTTCCGGCACAGCTCCTAACTTAAAGCGCAGACGCATTGTCACCGACAAATCAAAACCCGCTTGAAACACCTCTAGGTTGATCGGCTCATCCGTAATTCTCTCAGCCATTCTCTCTCGGCGTCTCATTTTGGGTCGGGACTAAATGATGAGCTGACGCCACTGTATTCTTATCCCACTGCCTCTTTCCTGATAAGCCTACCTTAAGTTCATTCATTAACCTCAAAGGCCTTTGCAAGGCTTCATTTATAAAATGAAGTATTCAAAGACACGGCATGGGAACGTTGCATTTACGCACTGGATAGCCGCACCCTGTCTGCTCGAAAAACGGTCGGTGGGGTAGGTAAGTCGGCTTTTGGCCAGTATTTCAGTGGTAAGACAAAACGATTTCCTATAAAGAGTTACCAACAATTTGCAACTGAGTCAGCAATAGAGTATTAGAAGAATGGCACATGCTTTTCGATAATACGAGTGCAAATTTATGGACCTTTCCACGGACAGTCCTGCCAGACATCTTAGATGACGCCACTTAAAAATAAAGTACTATCCGAAGGTGCTTCTGTATGGCAGTTATCGGGAGTTAACCCACAAAGGAATAGGACCCCTGAGTGACTACTTCCAGTTCACTAGTCGCCATCAGCCTGCGACGATTTAACTGCTGATGCTGGTGCGCCAAAAGTTCGAAACTGGGTCGACAGGGCCAGTAGCATTTAATTCCAACGTTCTGTCGACTTGAAATAACGGAAAAGCCATCTGTGGACTGGGCTGAAAAACATGCAAATTTGCGTTAGGTCGTCTACCGGTCGAAACTGATACCTAGGTTAAGTTTAATACCCCTTCAAGCTCTCATATAACGACCAGCAATCGGTCTGGGAAAAAAACTTCCAGGAAGGATGTTAGACTGGACTGCCGTGAGCCCGCGGTTGAAATAGCCCACGAGTGACAGCTCCGTTCCATTGCCATCTAATACTTTCGTATATGCGATTCTTAGCGGACTTCTGTGCTGTTAATTCTTTTTGGAATATTCGTCCTCCTGAAAGTTGTAGCTTAAACAGTGGTAAGATCTGAGGTTAAATCCATTCCACACAATTTATCAGAATATTACACGAATACATATGTATTTTAATTGATGCAGCCTCCGGAGTCGGTGCCCAACTAGTGTCATGGGTTTAACATCCAACCTGACCTCTTATGTCTGCTAAACTCGGGCGAAGGTGGACAGTGAAACTCCAGTCCCCAGCCAAGTGTCCGTGCGTCAAACCCTAGTCAGTAATTAAATATTCCTCTTTTGCACGCCGTCTGGACGGGATATCCAGGACAGAGTGGAGAGTTGCAGTCCGTACCTTAATGATGGAACCGTTGGTCAACGACCAAATTGCCCCAGGTGTGTCAGGCCTGAGAGTGGGTGGCAAATTAAGGACGAAAAATGCGACTGAAGTAAAATGTAACCATTTCCATATACTTTTGCTAGTTAGCCCAGACGCACGCCTATTTAGTCACGATAAGATTAGTCTCAAAAGCACCAGACGCAATATTAAAATAGTACAAAGTCTGATTTTTCATCTTATCGGCGTAGAACATCCGCTATAGGAGCTTGATTCAAGTAAAACCGAAATTACGGATGCTAAACGCCTAGCCAACGTGGCAGCGACCTTCGTTCACCTTGAAAATATGTGGGGAAAGCCGAATCCTACAACAATCATACCAAGCTAAGATACGGTGCCACAATAAGGAAACGTCCTGTTGGTCTCTCGTTGGATGCCGAGAAAGAATCCTCCAGTACGATTCTAAAACGGAAATTCGCCTCCTTAACTTCAAAAACCGTTTTCTTCTTTCCAGAGATTGCAGTTCTTTCAGGTAGGTAGATGAGTAGCATTAAGGCGTGGGCTGATCGTTAACGTCCTCAGCATAATTAATGATCTCAAAAATGCTAGTTTAGTTCTCAAGTTGAGAGACTTAGGCTGCTGCTGCTGCTGCTGCTGCTGCTGCTGCTGCTGCTGCTGCTGCTGCTGCTGCTGCTGCTGCTGCTGCTGCTGGCCATCCCACCCATGACGATGTGGGTAAACCCATCCCTCTCATTCATCCCATCCTCCAGCACTTGGTTCCGGTCTTCGGCATCGGGTTGCTAGGTGAGGCGCCAAACAGATGCGAAAAAGTGACGATTGAATAAGGCCGGAAAACCTGTCGCTTAGTAGGAAAGGGTGAATTCAAAAAACGGTTGGATGAACAAGCTTAAAAAAATTCCTGAGATTTATGTAGAGGCGGTAGAGCACTGCGTCGCCCTGTTGGAAGTGCGCACACACGCTGAGCAGTGTTCGTGCCAAAGGGGATAATAAATGGGCGGGTGAGTCGGATGAGCGTCGGACGACGCGACGTGAAGAAAGTCTTGCGCGTCGGGGCGCAATAGGTTCTACTAGCCCCGACGAGTAAGGAAGGCAGTGAGAGCCTTGATACAATCCGGCGATGTCCAACGCTCGGCCAGGCGGTCACTTTCGACCAGATTGGTGGCGTGCATGGCTGCCTTCGACGCTGGCGTTCGGAGGAGTGCTTTGGCGTACAGAAGGGTCTAAGGAACGCAAAAACCAAAGCATTGAGGACTATGCACAATGTTCGAAAATCACACAATAAGATCACAAAATTGAGCGTACAGGGATTGAAGGCCAGATCACGGAAGTGCCTACTTAGGAGGGCGATTGAGGTTATATTATGCGAGTCGGAGATAAAGCCAACCCTACTGAACTCGATTAAATGCATTTCGGGAGCAAACCATTCGATTTGTGCAAAATCTAATAGTCTTTTTCTCTGCATACGCGTATGTGAAATATTCCCAAAGCGACTATCCTACTTTATGGAGGTTTCCACGGCCACTGCAGACCAATAGGAGACATTGCTAAATTCGCCCGCCTTGTATTTCTGCAGGCACATTTCTCTCGCCAGCTTTCCTATAAAGCACAAGTTGCCTGTAAATAAACACCGTTTCAATTGCCGACATCCCAATTAAACTGACACGCCTCAACTGTCCAGGTTGCACTGAAATGTAAAAGCGTAAACGGTTTTGTGACTTTCGCCGTTCCTTCGTTGTGTGATTCCAGTTTGGAAAACCAGAATGACTATTCTCTGCAGTTGCGTTTTTAAAACAGGAGTTCGAAAAATGACAACCAGCGCCAACAGGTGCCACACCGGCAAAACTTTTTGGCCTACTGACGTCAATGTTCACGGTGAAAAAAAAGATGTTTACCGAAAGCTATGACGATCAAACCCAACGACGGTCCCTTAGACAGCGGTTGCGCTCTACGATCTCCCCTAGCTCTGACGACAGGTTCAAGGATTTACAGTATTTTTTACGACTCGGTGACGCAAGTCAAGAAATATCGCGCAAGAATTTTGAAGGCACAATATGGCGCACATTGGGTGCTATTTGCGTATTCGGTAAATGTGACGCACGGAGGACCTTTTATTGGCAAAAGATACAATTCAAGTCCATTTTATAAACGAAAAACGGGACATTTTTTTTAAAAAATCTGACGTTTTCTGATATTCGGATAATTTCTTATTCTGCTAGACATCCGAGGCTGTAAAAGAACATAAAGATATAGTAGACGATATGACGCAAAAAAATTTGGTGCGGTCATTTTTTATTTTTTATAGAAAAAGGGCCAAAATTAAGCAAAGGCGGACGTTTTCCGGTATCCAAATAAATTACTACGTTGTTAATTGACAAATGTCAAAGTTTCTTGTTTTTACGCGCTGTGCTATAAAAAACCTTAATTTAACCAAGAAATGTTCAAAGAAAATCTCTACTAGAAATACAAAGTTTGAATTCCATAAAAATCAGGTAGATTCAGACATGCGAAGTTACATTTTTCTCAAGACATTAGGTGCAGACTGAGCTATAAAAATTCTATTTTCTTGTCACGACACAGAATTCGGTAAAAGATTTGTTTGTCAGCATTTTGTTATACCACAACGAGAATTAACAGGCAAAAACAAATGTGTATGGAATACCGACGACATGTCACTTTGCTGTGTCGTGCCGTGCGTTGAAGGTGTCGAAGATCTTCCTGTCGGATATCGATTTTGAGTATATGTAAATTGGCAGCCGAAAGACGGCCGAATGAATCGTTAGCTAATACTTTCAACACTAGCCAGGTCACTCTCTAGAGGGCTGAAACGGTGCACAAAGTAGGCAAAAAGACGAGTCTATTCGACGGAAGCCAAAAAGCGTCTTTATGTGCCCTTTGCGAGCGCTCACGGAGAGCAGCTGTCGGTTTCCTCCTCGCAATAATTATTACGAGTATAAAAGTGCTTTAATTTCACCTGTAAAGGAACAGGATTAAAACTTTAAGTAGGAAGCTGACTAAGAGACACTTTTTATTTGGTACAAAGTATTCCGACCACAGGCTCTCATCCTGGGAAGGCAGCTGCTTCAGGGAAGGGGCATTATTTCTAGATAAGCCCACAAATGTGTCCCAAGTGGCCACATACAATAAAAACTTCCCAAGAGAACACATTGCGCCGATGGCAACCTTCAAAGACCGCCAACGGCTGGTGGCTTACACGGCCGTAAAATTCGGAGTAATCAGTCTGGCTGTCGACAATCGTTGCTATTATCAAAATTATAAAGGATGCCTTCGGCGACACCCACCGACGCCGAATAGACACTAGAATTTTGCATGGTAATCCTCCTGCTCATTGCGCTAAAGAGGTATGGATATAATAACGCTTGAGGCGATAAGCTACTTTCTTTAGAGAGCAGCCAGGCTCTTGGCCTGCGGCCTCAAAACCATTCGCATTCCAGCCAACAGCCTGAATATTTACGACATCGGAAATATTTGTGCAATTATAAAAATGGTCTGACACAGGGCGAGGTAGAAATTTATAATGCTGGAGATAGTTGACAAACCACTATGGACACCTTGACTATTTCTATGCCTTACAGACTCGTTAATGTATAAAATGCGAACGAGCAGGCAAAAAATGTGCTGATTTTTCTATCGTTATAACTTGCAATTATTCTCCTATTTTTTGCACAATTGTTCGTTCTGCATTCTTATATATAGTCGTTTTCTGAATCACTAGCTTTTGACAAAAACATTTGGCTAGATCGCAGTTGGCAGCCAGGCCCCGTATTACAGGTGGCTGAGGGATTTGCTTACTAGGGCTATTTTTGGGATTCCATAATCACATCTGACCCGTTTGGCTTCCGTTTTACGCCTAAGGTTAGAATCAGGGTACCGGTTAATGGTTTCCGATTTTCGGATTAGGGTTATGCCTTTAGGCTTAGCTTTTTGGGCAACGGTTAGGGTTTGAGCGTATGATTAGTTTTCAGTATTACGGTTAGGTTTTCCAGTTACGGTGATGTCTAAGGGCTACGGTTACGTTTACGATTTCGGTTAGGGTTACCGTTAAGGTTAACGATTAACGGTTAAGATTGAGGTTACGGTTAGGGTTAGGGTAGGATTAGGGTTAAGGTCGCCGTCCGCTCCACATTCCTGGCTACCAACTGCGATCTAGCCTAACTGTTTGAAAATACTGGTCTATACACCAAGCTCTGTTATCTTTTGAAAAACGCTCACTTTCTCAATGTTATAAAGTCTTGGGAGGGTGGAGAGTTACTGGGATTTTCTTGTGAAATTCATGACCTTCCACTAGTGTCACCACTCGCTAACTCAGAGAATTAACAGCCGAGGAAGCAAAAGGTCTAAACATTAAAAACATGAACATGAAAATGAATCCCTTGTGGGAGCGACAACGAAAATCCAACAAATTCCTTGACATCTAAAACGATCGTCAGTCTAGCGTCAGCATCAAAAGGCGGTGCTAATCAACACTTCGACGGGGCTATCAGCAAAACATCCTGAATCAAACCGCATGTGTGCCCGTCTCAACCACGTGTCCTCCTCAGATGCGAACAGCAGTTTAAATGAGGTCGTCTGCAATTTCTCGAAGCGCATGACGATAAATTTCTCGAAGCTGCTTTTTGAGGAGAAAATAATGTTGCTTTGTTCGTGGGTTTGACGGCAGTTGACAAAGCTACTTCGGAGTCTCCGATGGCAGTATCGAGTGCGTTGTGGTGTTGCCATTTTTTGCCAGTTAGGGAAACGAAATCCAAAGACTAGGCCATGTTTGTCCACTGGTTAACGTATTTGTGTTGACTGTACTTTCTTCCACTCGAAGGTCAAAACGTTTCCCTCTTCTATGAGAGAAAACCCCGAGTAGGCTAGCATTTCAAGACAACCTGGACTGGGATTAAATAATTTGGGGCTTGAACGGCAAGTTTTTCGAGGTCGGCAGGGAGTCGAAATTGTTCAAATACTGGTCAAGACCTTTGAATATGTCATCAAACCGCAAATACCAGTAAAGTAAAGCATAGTCACAAGCTAATTCATAAATTTTGATATGCTATTATTTGAGTTTTCCTCTTCCCGTTCGTCTGCGCAAATCAAACTGGGAGAATTAATCATTAATTAAATAATGCGTGTGTCGCTTATTAACATTTAACGGAGTGATATTGCCGACAAAGACAACGGAAACTGGAATGGCCACTTCTGGCTTATTAGCCGTCGTCAGCCAGTCATACCCAACCCCGAAGTGTGGCACACCCGAGGCTCGAACGCGCGACCTGTTTGTTAGAAGTTCACGCCTCTAACAACTGAGCCACGAGCCCGTTGCTCTGTCGGTTTTCGATCGGGAATATACAATGGTAGGGGACGCTCACCGATCGTTCTTACGGAACTCACTCGTTCCGTTGTGCCTTATGGACTCTGTCTCGAGCCCAACCAGCAGCCGCACAGCGGCGCATGATATATAGGCAGAATGATAATACCGACAAAGACAAGGGAGACTGGAATGGCCACTTCTGGATTATTAGCCGTCGGCAGCCAGTCATACCAAGCCCTGAAGTGTGGAACACCCGAGGCTCGAACACGCGACCTGTTTGTTAAGTCCACGCCTCTAACCACTGAGCCACGAGCCCGTTGCCCAGTCGGTTTTCGATCGGGAATATACAATGGTAGTGGGCGCTCACCGCTCACCGGTATATTTTACAAAAAAATGAAAAATGCGTCTTTTTTCTTATATTCGCGTCCCTGTCGTTAGGGTAATACCGCAGGAATACTTTTTTACAACGATTGCTGCATATATTATCAAATTTATAGAACAAGCGAAATC